TTGGGAATAGGTAGGGTAGTTGTTAGTTAACCAACATATTATGTCGCATTGAAACGCCAAAAGCGTGTTAGTCTCAGAAGAGAAGAGGAGAAGAGGTTGTACCACACTGCTGCAATGTAAGGTATTGGATTATCATAACTTTCGCCACTAAATTCGCTCTTGTAACACCGAGGCCGACAATTGACTATGTTGTTGAGACACGGGTTCCGTACTACGGGCTGGTTGTAGAAAAATTACATATTTAAAGAAGTCAATTGAGCTTGAGCAAAATTATCTGTAATTAGACATAATACTTTTATGATAAATAAAATGAAATGCTTTTCATTACCTATTATTATTTATATGTTTTACTTTTCGTTTATAGTCTATTTACATTATACAAGGGTTGTTAATGTCAGGTCCGCATTTTGCTGTAAAAGGCTCCTGCTGAAAACTGCTAGCGCGTTCCCAGAACACGCCAGCAGTTTTCTCAAATTCGTCATGCCACCTCCTGAACGGTTTTCTTTGTTTGGGCTTTTCGCTTAACGAAGTTCAGTTTGTGATAACCAACGGTTGACCTTAACTTTCAGCAGGTGTTCAGTCCATGCCCACTTCAGCTGTATGGAAGTCATCCTAATATCTTTGGCCCTTCTTCTTATACGATGTTTTAGTGTATCTTTCTGTTTGCGTCTCATTCATAATATAATAAAATTATATAATCATTTTACATTTTATTGGTTAAATCTCTTTTAAATTTAGCAAAGTCCGTAGCCTCGTCTATCAGCTTAATTTGCCAGGATATTCCCCCAAAAGTACCACTTATCATACCAAGTTCCACAGACGATAAACCCCCTTGGAATTATGACATCTCCAGAGCTTAATGGGTGGTTATGTGCATTAATATGTCATTTACCGAATACTTAATAGCTACGTTTGACCGAATTTTGTGTTTTACTGCTAATCAACATTCAACTATGCAAATCCAGGCAGCGGGAACCTCTGTGCTTTTTGGTGGAGTATCAAATTAAATTCGTATTGTTTTTTTGCACTCGAAATGAAATTATTTAATTAATCAGCACTGTACCACTACTGGTGCTACATTACACCTTACTACTATTGTTTATGTAGTATGTTAGTATCTTTACCCCCCGTACCCCATTTTAATGGTAGAGTAATCTAAAAGGCGCCAAAACCCTCGAATCATCCAAAAATGATTCATAAATCATTCTACCCAGCGCCATCTTGTTTTTTTAGAACGCAACTCTCAACAATAATAAAATATACTTATTAATAAAAAAGAAATAGGTACAGACCAAGGGTATTAGTAGAAAATGTTTTGCTTAAAACATAATTGTAAACTCGTAATAGTTGTTATTGAGGCATAGAAGTGTGTTCTAGAAATATAATAAAATATCTATTCCTTGAGTGCGTCTGCGCCGTTTATTAATGAATTAATTATAAGTGCTCTTTGTAAAGGGATTGTAATCAATAGTACATTGAGAGAGGCTTCTAAGTTTCAAGTCACGGCAGTATTTCTTAAACATTTTTTTTCACGGCAGACTAAACAAAAGAAAAAAAAACATACAAAAAACTCTATGAAATAATATTTAGAAAGTAGCGACACATGTGTTTACATGCATTAATGCAGTTCTAAGGATGAGTTAATAAATAGTTACTGAGATTGTGCGGACTCTTGCTAAGGCGATTTTAAATCTTAACAGATAATCGGAGAAAGTAATTTTATTGTTTTTTTTTTCATTAGACCTTCATCTACTTGTTATGTACCTAATGCATTATGTGAAATGAAATAGAGAAATTCGATGATAAAAAATGTCTTTTTAAATAAATAAAATAGCTTTTTGTCTATGACTACAGATGATAAAAATTTAATAGCCTGCAGCTAACGTTAAAAATGGAGTTGTTATTTCGAATCAAATGCACCTTGATTAACAAATATTGTATGATACATGAAACCAAAGCGATGTAACACGTCAGTGGCACGAGGCCAAGGGTTGCCGACAGCTGCCACTCCGACTATTATTTCATATTAATTCAGATATGCAAACATAATAAAGCTAAAGAATATGTTAAAATACCTACTTCACATTGGACATTTGGAAATCCATAGACTAAAATTGCGATTACCTTTCACGGTCATTCGGGACCTGGACATAATTTTAATATTCCCACTACTCATTTAATATCCAAATGCTCTAGATGTCTTAATATTGCAGACAAATCATACACTGATAGAAGACACGTTGGTATTAGACCAAAAAGTCGTTAAAATATTGTATAAAACAGGTCAATGCGACTTACTATTGTCGTAGGACCCAATTGTATATCAGGAATAATTAAAAATTTATAATGTTGAGTAAGCCAAAACACGTGTCAATTAATTTTTTATGAATTCGATCACTAAAAGGGACTATTGCTTTATAAACGCTGCAACTAAAGCAAGAAATATTTTATAACACGGGCAATGTTACCGGAGTTCACAGAAACTAAATTAACCTGGAGTCAAGCCAAAATACAGTGCAGGCGTTATTAATTAGCAATTGCAATTTTAACAATATTAATCTTATTATATAAAATTTATAATTAAGTAACTAAGGAAGATTATAAAAACATCTTCGTATCGCACTACAAGATTCAAAAATAGAAATGTTTCTTGATCTAATCATAAATATATGTCTAAAAAAATATGGCGCGCTTAAAACCGTTGACGTGGGTTCATTTGACTTTACTTTGCAATTGCCAATTATATTTGGATTTAAACAATCATTCCCCACGTACGTCGGTCCTGTATAAAACAATCTTTTAATTACACTACTGAAATAAATAATACTTTTGTCACGTAGAAGAGATACCGATCGTGAAATTGAATTTATAATTAAATTTTTAACAATTTCAAAACAAAATGGCCGCACATTCAACGTCAAAAGGTAGCAAATTATTCATCAAAGCGCTTGATAATCTTGTAACGTTTGTAAACATCGAGATAAGGCCAAATTGAACAATGTTTCGCGTGGATCTGCACTGCAGTCGAAACTAAAACTTATTGCTTTGAAATAAGATTTAAAATGTAAATTGTCTTTGGAGTTCGACGCACGCGAATGCCTTCCGGCAATTCGTTACTTTGAACAATTCGTTAAGAGTGGATATAAATTTGTTTTGTAATCTAGCTGTAATCCTTTCTCGAGTAATTAAGAAGGGTTGAAGGTGTAACGGACAGTTGGCCTTTCTAATGCACAATTAATTCTTGTAAGACATTCGACTCATTAAAAGTTTCTTGAGTACGCGGTGTGATTGACCATTTTTTGGTGTGTATGTTATTTGGTAAAGATGTTAGTAGTAGATTTTAAATGACTAGTAAGAATAGCTTCTAACTCCGTCTGGTCTAAAACCACCGTCCATAATTGGAGTATTTATCAATGAATGAAAATGCATAAAAAAAAGGTCGAAATGCATGTTCTTTAGATTCGAAGATACCAAAACACCGTCCCCGCAGAAAAAATAACTTTTGCAGCAAACATAAAAAAATCCTCTTACACTGGCCATTGTAGACAATGGCATTTGTTGATTATTAACTTTGGAAAATGTATTTTTATGTATGTTCTAAATGTCATTATTACATTTTTGATATTATTAAGAAAATAAGAAGTCGAAAATAACACGGTCTGACTGTTATAAGGTATAAAACTTTTTTTCCCAATGAACCGACGATATAGTACCAAATACATAAAGTTTTATTATTTTATGTGTTTGAAATTTTACTTTTCAACAAACAGTATTAAAATTATTGCATAACAAAAAACTTTGTTCTACTCTAAATTGAAAATACCATACCTTTATCGTTATCAAGTCGAATATTTTTTACTAAAGCATAATGACTCTACAAGTTAAGTTGCTTCGTTTCAAGTAGGAATACCTACATTTTAATAAGATTATTTTACCACTTTTTTTATGATAGAGGGGGGCAAACAGGCATTTGTTTCACTTGATGGAAGATGAAATACCCCAGCAGCATAACAGGCTAGACAAGATGCGCTCTCGATCTATTTTGTCTTTGAATGTTCGGAAATCCATAGACTGTCAAGTCCAGTTTCAGAAAAATTATAAATTAATTAGAACTAGACATTTTGAAGCCCGTCGAATTGCATTAAATATTAGGAACGTATAAGGAATCCCTATTGGATCCGACATTTGAAAAAAGGGTGTGATATAAGAAAATGTGTCTACTTTTGTAAAATAATTTTTAGGTTCCGTCAAGACCGATTTCTAACAAACAACATTTGTAGCTTACAGAGTGCCTAAGGTTGCAATATCCGCTTTGACAAGACTGCAGCAAAAGGATGTAGGCAGAGGAAATGCGGTGAATTCCTTGAACCAGGATTTGTCAAAACAAATTTAACTAAAGGTAGTGGATGTAGGACAAACGATAAAGCAGGCATAACGCTGGTATATCTCACCCTAGATATTAAACAATCTTTGACTGGTAATGTTTTCTGGTATGACAGAATTAAAGTTGATGGGGCTAACCCTAACATAAAAGTAGTTTGTCGTACGTATTATATCATAATATTACATACGTTATATTACAAACAAAACAATGACGCATCACTTTTCCCAAACATAATACAAGAAAAGACAAGTCATTATCAATACCTAATAAAATTATTATTTTGTCTGTATGTTGAACAAGAGAATAAAATTAAAACCTAGAAAATTATAATTGCAGGAAAATTTAACAAAAAGTAAAGTTGATAGTTACGTATTTGACGGCAAATAAATTAAGGCAATTTCTTCCAAACAATGTGTATTAACAAGCGTTACAGTTTCATTATTAACTAATAAGAGTCGGAGTGTAACACTGTCACTGATAACTTGTTATCTGTAGCGAAGCTCTTCATATATGTATTGTCTACGATAGAATATTATCAATGATTACGTCTTAGCAGACTAATATAAGCAGTATCTCATTGGAACTTATACTCAGACTCAAGAAGTAATCGTGAAAAATGGCAGGCAAAATCGCCGTTGTAACCGGTTCTAATAAAGGCATTGGATACGCGATCGTGAAAGAATTATGCAAACGAGGCGTCAGTGTTGTGTATTTAACTGCAAGAGATATTCAACGAGGACAGAAAGCAGTAGAAGAACTCAAAAAAGAAGGTTACAGCCCATCGTTTTATCAACTGGAAGTAAACAATGAAGACAACGTGAAATCTTTTGCAAAACATCTGAAGAAAACGCACGGTGGCTTAGATATTCTAATCAACAACGCTGGTGTCATCGTTAAAGATTTTCGTGAGACCACTTACGAAGATTCAGTACACGTCCTTGATATTAATTACAAAGCCATATTAACAATCGAGAAATACATTTACCCACTTTTAAAAAACAATGCCAGAGTAATAAATGTGTCTAGTGACTGCGGCCATATTTCAAACATTAACAACAAATACTGGATCGAACGCCTCACTAAAGACGATTTGGGACAAGAAGACGTTGATGACTTTGTTGAATGGTTCTTGGATTCCGTAAAAAATGGTACAATTAACTATAACGATTTTGCAGAAAATACACTTGTTGCGTATAGAGTTTCAAAGGTGGCACTTTGTGCGTTATCAAAAGTACAACAAAAGCAGATCGGTAGGAATATTTCTATTAACTCATTACATCCTGGTTTCGTTAAGACTAGCATGACGAAAGGTGCCGGGTACCTAACTATGGACGAAGCTGCACAAACCCCTGCTTATTTAGCCCTTGATGTAGACCAAACGGTTAAGGGAAAGTACTTCTGGTTCGATAAAACTGAGAAGGATTGGCAGAACTATGACCTTAAACTATATCCTAAGTTGGCTATGATTGAAAACGAATTAAAGAGCATGTAATTTTTTGTATGTTTTATTAATAAATTATTTTTATTAATAAATGTTTTGTTATCACCTCTTTATTTTTTAACAAAAGAAATTAACTGAACCTCCTACGTAAATTAAAACATTTTTTTAATTTAAATTATTTCAAAGACTATTTCGGACTTTGAAAATACTCGTAAAAGTGCAATTGGAGAAAAATAAGTTAAATCACATTTTTTCGCTGAATAAACGCTTCCACACAATGAATGTTCAGAAAACGAAATTGGCTGTCCTACAAGCGAAATAGATTGGTGCACTTAGAAATACACTCGCAGACACTTTTAGATTTTATTTCCACGTGTGAGCACCTATTTTCGCGGAGCATATCTAAAATGGTCAAGTTTATAGTTGTGAATACATAATGGTCTGTAACTAAGCGGGTCGTTTCGGAGTGATTGCATAAATTCAGAGTTTGGCTAAGAAATAGTGTTTTCAACAAATTCTTTTTAGCGGCGGTGAAGTTTTTTATTTGTACATACATTTATTTAAATATATACTCAGAAATCAGAAATAATAAATAAATAAGAAATACTTTTGAATAACCAAAATCGGTTTGGATGGTATCAAAATAAAGCAAATTTTATTTACTTTATTTGTTATTAGTGTAATTTAGCAGTAAAGTAACAATAACTGACTTTTTTTAAAATGTACATACTTACCTTTAAAAACCTTAATATTTTTCCCATGTGCCATAAAACGTTAATAAGTTAAAAAATGTTAATATTTATTGAAAGATTTTTAATGTTTATACAGACCTATTAATTTATTGGAACATTGAATTGAAAAGTAGGAACTATGAATAGGGTAATTGGCAGACAAGATGTACGAGGGAGGTATACTAATGTGTTTATATTAAAAAATGCATTGGGATTGGAATGGAATCACTAAAAAGCGAATAGACAATTGCATAGCAACATCGCTTTAGCAATGCAGATTACATACAACATAATATGCACATATATTTGGAGCATCTGGTCGAGACCAGGAAAGAATACATTAGGCAAATTCACGATTTCACAATCCCAGATTTAATAGGGAGAATCGTTGGTCGCATTTTATTGTCCGGCTGGTGACGTTTTACTTCAACCACCTTCTATATGGTAAAACACGTCTTCAGACATTGCATTAAGCGTAAATAATCCTATGTTCGAATCGCGGCGAATCAAAGACAACCTTAGGCACAGAAGAGTAAATAGGGCAGAGACGACGGCATGTAATGTTAGCAATGGCTAATGATCAACGGCTCTTTAAATAACTTTTTTGTTTTTGTTAAACTTATTTGAAAATGATTTTTAACTTCGGCCCGACGTTTCGGATGCTTTGCAGCAGCCGTGGTCACGGGGAGAGACCCCTTAGACGTTAGTGAAAACGGGCACAGTAACATGTCACCCCATACCGTACACCATAAAGGAGATGGGCAGTAAACCGTTTGGAAGTGTTTAAGCAGTATTTTATATTCAAGTTAGTACAAGTTTTGCAGTCGGAGTGCAAATAATTGTCGCCCAGACAGGAAGACATATTGAATCAATTTGTTTGCACAATTCTAACCGGGGACTGCGTATAAATCACACATCACTATGAAATATTGCCTTCATAAACCAGTCCAAAATGACCCCTCCCTCCTATCATATAAACGTGAAATAGGGGCGAATGCCTGTGGTCACAAATATTTGAATAAAATCGTTCAGAGCTCCCGTTTTGAATATTGAGTTTATTCAATTACGTTTATTCGCTGTAAAAATATGTTTTTTATTATCTGATTTTCATTCGAGCGATATATTGACAAATTTTTGCCAATACTTATAATTACCGTGTTTGTAGGTTAACTTTTGAACAAGATTATTTTGAACAAAATTATTGTTAACTTCGGCCCGAAATTACGGATGCTTTGCAGCAACCGTGGTCCACCGTTAAAATTTTATTTTTATATCTTAGTTTTCATTTGTTGTTGGTTTTAGATCTGATGTGGAGGACAGTCAAGGATCGGGCTCATTAAATGAAAGGTAAAATCAAGTACACGTAATTTAGGTGCACTTTTGACCTATTATGACTTTGAATATTAAAAGATGCATAGAATAGAACCGAGACGCGCTTTTACGTTTCACAATCTTTTCGTTTGTGGATGGTTATTCGTGACCCTGAAAGAACTTTGAAATTCCAACCTTTTACGTCCCGTCAAGATTTCAGGATCAAACATGCTCAAAAAATATAATGTAATTGAAATCGAATCCATTACTTCGTTGTAAGTCATGCACTGCTACCATTACACCACCGAGATCCCTAAAGAAATATAAATCAATGCAATATGAATAATATTTTTAAAACAAATAACTCAGTCTGAAGACCGCAGACCGTCTGAAACTTATTTGATTTCAATTGCGTCTGAAACCGAAGATATTTTACCGCAGAGAAAAAACAAAGACAATGATACGATACACAGATACCACGAACGAGTTTACGTAAATCTATAAAAGTTCCCTATATTTAATGTAAAGCTTACAGTTTAGTTCCTTGAAATTTTTATTTGGAAGTGTGTTATAATATGTACATAAATATTATGATCTATGCTCCCAGATAGGATTTCGACTAGTCACGAAATTTGTATTAATTCCAAAGGTGATAAAGATCGACCAACATCAACAACTCTTAGATTTTTTATACTTTAGTGCCGTCTCTAAGCAAACAAATGAGGTTTTTCATTATATAGTTTAGTATACATATTAATTCTAAATTTTGGACATGGGGGATATAACTTGACTGTTTACTATATACTGTCTATAGTTTACGCGAGTAGTACACATTTAAATAAAACACATTTGCAGCAGCCGTGGTCACGAGGAGACAAAGCATCCGAAACGTCGGGCCGAAGTTAAAAATAGTTTTCAAATAAGTTTAACTAATATATCGTGTTTTAAACCGTTACAGTTCCCGATTAGCGCGTCCAAACAAGCAAAATCTTTAGCTTATTAGTATAGTAGTATCTTTAGCTTATTACTATATTAGTACAGATTTATGTTTTCTTCAATTATGCTTTAATAGTATTTTATTGAAGAACCCTGAAAAGGCAAATGCAAAGCCGAGATAGGAAAAACAAAAACATCGGTTCTTATCGCGACAAGTCGGCCCTTGACATAGCAATTCAACGAGTCTTTTGTGCGGCTGATTTCATGACTTCATTTGTATAATTCAATATTAACGTCCTTATATAATTTGCTTTCGAGATATCTTACAAAACGAATAATTCCTTACAAACTTGCCGGTTGTTTTTGTTAATGTCCAGTAAGCTTACAGATACAGTATTTAGTGTTCCCGTTTTTCATCTAAAATTGCAACATTTGATAAAAGATAAAAATCAAGGTTAAGATATATTCTTAAAATGTCTTTAACCAATGGTACTAATGTGTCGCCATCTATGATCCAACGGCTGCAACTCGCGTGGTAAAATTCTATTGACAAATACTGAGTCGATAAGTTGGATGATGGATCCCGTTTTCAGTGGGGCATGGGACATACACATTTCTCAGTCAAGTCTTTCCAGTAACAAGTAAGAGAACAAAAATAATACACATTTTAGTTAAATCGAATGTTTACAAACACAACAAATTATGTAAATATGAAAAACATATTGACTTACAAATCGAATATTGATATTATTTTATTTTTTCGACAATTATGAACTAACACTTCGATATGATACTTATCGCTGGTCTTCAAGCTTCAAGTATGAATTTCTAACATTCTACAAATCAACTGCGAGAGATAGCGTAGCCAGTGCGGATCTTATCTTTTATTTATGTCCTTATAAATGTTCCGAAATCAACATCTTTTGGCACTCAGTACTATGTTCACATATTTGGCCGCAAACTTTCAACTATCGGCGCTCATTCGTGATCAGTAGAACACAGGGTCGGATTCACAAGTGGGCGGGGCCCAACACATTTTATTAAGAGCAAAATATACAACAACGTCGATATATAAAACGCGACGTAACTTTTAGTAATTTTCTGAAAACTTTTAGTGATAGTACGCGTTATTTAGCGACATTAAAAACTATTTTTTTTAAGGATTTATCCTCTTGTTCCTAAATAAAGTAGTACATCTATCAATACGATGCATTGTTAGAATATGTATAGTTGTAAATGTATAGTTTAAAATGTACGCAAGTATGCGTATTATGATATAAGATCCTTCCCTTCTATTTTAGTTTCGGAACAGCCTGTTACTTGGGAGATAAAAAATAATAATTAATTGTGCTTTATTGAATACAAATAGGTAAATTTAGATAACTAAAGTTAAACTTACTTTCTTTACAAATTTATATTTTGCTTTATAAATTATGTATTTGTATCTTTATTTTGTCTTTCTCATATGTGGACGGTGGTCTGTGACCCGGACAGATTTATAATATTTCTACCGCCATTTTATTATTCAGATTTCTAAACAAAGTCCAGTATAATTAAGTATAATTAAAAAAATAAAATTACATCTACGCTCCATTGATTATTATTAGTATAATCAACCCAATAGATGTGTAGTACAGTTGTAAGTGGGGCCCCATTCGATTATTTAAGTATAAGAAAATGTATATACTATATGGGCCCCGCATGGTCTAAAAAATAAAGATAAATAAATTTTAACGAGCAGAAGTCGAGCCAAGAGTCAAGTAAACAGAAAGCTAACTAGTATTGCTTATATTAACTACTGTTTGTAGTTAAAGTTGATACTTATTCCTGAATAAACTATTAGTAGAAATGCATAAGAACGTAGTCTTACCCTTTTTTATTAGACTGTAAGAGATTAGTAGTTACAAACAATGAGTGTCAAAATATAACACAAATTCAAAATCTGTTTATATTGTAAAATATTATTACGACTCGGGTGGGATTTAAACCGACATCCTGCGCCTGCGCGGAGGCACGTATCTATAAGTTAAAGAAGATACCTAGCTCAATTCATCAGAACATCACGGTACTTTGTGGATGCACATTCAAGACTTAAATCTTTTAAAGACAAATAAAAAAGGGTAAGACAACGATCTTATGCATTTCTACCAATTTTTTCAATCTAAATAGATTTTAAATTACAACATATATGTTAATACTGTATAGTTTTTCTAAACTTATTATATACTACCTGCAAAACATTCCTTAAGTATATAATAAAAATATCATAATTCGAACCGCAGATAAAAATATGTTATTTTCCAATGTCTAAAGGTCGACAACACATCTTACGTGGATAGTGTATTCTGTGTTATACCATCAAATGAGTCTCTAGGTTTTTTATTCCGCCCATTTCTCTTATGCATCCCTTTTATTATGTCTGAGTTTACATTGTTGTGGTATAAGTGAATGCAGAAGTAATAAAAATTCTTCAGGACACTCAAAATGATCGTCTGAAGCTGTAATAGCATGAATATTGTAAAAAAGCAGTATTTCACAAGCAATTTGCCATTCAGTTGGATATAGTAAAGTCGTTTAACTCAATTTAAAACACATGTACATTAAACAAAGTAGTTTATGGGCCATTATTCGCATAATGCAACAATTTTAACTTTGTTATCTGAAAATTATTGTAATTTTGTTTATTTGGTGCGGTTTACAAGTTATTTATATTATGTGTAAGAACTACTGATCTTTGGGCTACTGGAAGTTGTCTGTACTTACTCCTCACTATTAAGCCAACTGTCGAGTCAATCACACACACAACACACTCGAGTCCTACCTGCATCAAGGATTTTTTACACCTTAGTTTAAAATACCTTACAATTGAAATAAAAGGTATAATATCATGTATGCATATACCTCGTAATAGTACTTTGTTAATTAAGTAATAATAATATTTTTTTTATTACTTAATAAAAAATCGATACGGTACATAATTGAAATTTCTTTTCATTTTAGTTAATCGCAAGAATAACCAAATTTATATACCTCACTAGTAGCTAGCGGACAACCAATCCAAAAAATATATAATAATATTTATTAATTTATTTTTATTCTGCATTCTTTTCTTTAGACAATTTAATATCTATTTAAATAGCCATTTATACAAATTTACATCCTTTATGAATCTGTTATATTTACTTAATAAACCAAACTCAACGAATAATCAATCTCTTATATAAGACGTGTGGATATATCTTAATACACTTGGTACTGTGATAAGAAATCATTTTTGACATAATACCACTTTACGAAGTCGGCTTAAACAGCTTAATGCACTAGAATTTAACGAACAATGCAAACAATTACTTGTATCTTATCAAATAGTTGTTCATATTTAGTATATGGTAATTGGTTTACTTCGTAGACTGGTTAACAATGCGATGCATTTGCTTCTACTGCACGAAACTTATCAATTTCCGGTCAGATTAGCAACAATGTTGCCCAGAGTTCGCTACCACAGTTGACATTCCAATTATCATCAAACCCGGGCACAGTATACCGCAACTTCTTTATTTGCAGGAAAATGAGAACTCAAGGAATAATTGGTTCGATATTGAATAGATATTCATCTCTTCATTCGTTTTTGTTTCGAACGCTCGAGATTCGATTGTTTTGTACGCTGTCGGTGAGTCGTTTTGCTTGAAAGACTGCTCCGTAGATAACAATAGCTTAGCGAAATAAAAACATAATTCGAGATTAAATAGCAGCGAGGCGAGTGGATATTATTGACAGTTGATAACAAGAGAAAAAATTACATCCACCGTACGGACGTAAAATATGCTATATTCACATTAAAATAACAAAGAACGTTACAATAAATATATTTATTTTAAGTTTTCTATTTAAGCAGACATTTTTTCAACGAAATCTTGGAAAGTATCGGGATCGACGTAGTCAATATCGATATCCACATCATACCAATCTTTTTCAGTTTTGTCGAACCAAATATATTTCCCTTTAAGAGACTGATCGGCGTCCAACGCTAAATAGACTGGTGCATCACTGGCTTCCTCCACAGACAGTAGTCCACAATTCCTTGTCATACTTGTCGTTACAAAACCCGGGTGCAATGCATTAATAGATATTCCTCTGTCAATTTTCCGTTGCTGTATCCAAGTATATGCACAAAGAGCTATTTTAGATACGACATATGCATGAAGAATATTCCATTTGAAATCTTCTACTTTCAATGTCTTATTGTTTACAGAATCCAAAAACCAATTAACAAATTCTTCCACGTCTTCCAATGTCAGGTCTTTTCGTGATAATCTTTCAATCCAATATTTGTTTTTCAATTTAGATAAATGTCCGCAATCGCTCGATACATTGACAACTCGTGCATTATCATTAAGCAATGGAAAAATAAACTTTTCAATTCTGATAATGGTATGGAAATTTACATCAATGACACGTTTCGCATCTTCGTATAATGGTGCATTAAAATTATCTTGTGTAACGGCTGCGTTGTTTATAAGAATGTCTATGCCTTTGTGCTGTTGTTTTATAAATTCACAAAATTTCTTAATACTTTCTTCGTCGGTGATTTCAAGTTGATGGAATTTAGGATTATAGCCTTCTTTCTTTAGGCTCGCAACTGCATCAGTGCCTCTCTTAATATCACGGGCTGTTAGATATACTGTTTTGACTCCACGCCTACAGAGTTCCTTCACAACACCATAACCTATGCCTTTATTTGCACCGGTAACAACTGCAACTTTGTCAATCATGTTAATCTTTTGAGACTTGATACCAGACTGCCTTATCATTTTTTGCAGAGTTCTTAAATAGTATTACTAAATAAATGTTGTTATCTCACTAAAGAAAGAATGTTTGATCATACTGAAGCAAGATACATTTTTTTATTTGTATTAAGATATCATCTGGCTGTTATTATTGTACATTGTACATGGCTATTACTGTTGTTATTATTGTATATCGGCGTTAATAATTTCATTAGTATGTTCACAAAAAAAGTCTCTTATGCTGCCAGGTTTTCTAGGAATTCTGAAATCACTTTCGGATCCACCTAATCTATATTCAGTTCTGCGTCATACCAGCCTTTTTAAGTCTTGTCGAATTTTATTTTCGTTAAGTATAGTTTTGAGATGCATCATATTATGTCCAAATGTAATTTTAAATGTTGAATCACGTATACAATTTTGGTAGACCAAGAAAGTCGACTTAAGTCTTATTTAGTGCAGCGTCACGGGATTTTTTTTTGTTTTATCGAACTATGTATTTAAATTTGGTCTTACATGAAACGGATTATATTGGATAGTACCAAGTACTAACACTAGAATACCATCAACTTGTTTATATAGTAATTTTTCGTTTTTCTTTTTACTTATGCTCGTTATTTGTATGTAAAATGCAACTATTTTTTTTATAAAACTTGCATTGTACATAACTAATCTAAGAATTTTGTTTGTGTTTTATTTTAGCTATCATAAATTTCATATATCCTCTATGCTTTTTTCTCTTGTTATATAGAATCAATGAAAAACAACAATGTAAGTTAAAACATTAATTTATTAGTACAATGTGATAGTAAGTACAATTTACAAAAACTCTCTGAAAACTTAACGATAAATCACATAAAATATATTAAAGGTTTTTAATATTTACATCAGTATATACACAAAACAGCCATTTATACTAATTAATTGTGTAAGGCCTTATACTACTATATTTTCTAGGAATTCTGCAACTACTCTCAATTCCACATAATCTATATTCAGTTCTGCATTATACCAGTCTTTTTCAGTCTTGTCGAACAAAATATAATTTAGAAACTACATATGAAACGAGTATATTCATATTTAAGTCTTCTGCATTAAATTCTTCACTGAATCCAAGAATCATTGAAGAACCTCTTCGTCGTCTTTAAACGTGAGATCTTCTCTGGATTAGTTATCAATCCATTGTTTATTTTTAAGTCGTGATAGCAGTACTCAGGCGCGCCATATATTGACTACCCTTGCGTTGTCATCGAGTAGCGGAAATATACTATATCTATTTTTCTATTAGTAGTATGCTGTAGAAGTTGACATTTATAACTCGTGTAGCGTCCTCATATGTTACCTTGTCAAACGTCTGTGTTATTACTGCTACGTTATTCTTTAATAAGTCAACACATTAATTTATTTAGTAAAAGCATCTAGATCTTGTTACCAAAACTTAAACGAAATATCAAAAAATATATATAATAGCGGCAATATTTACATTAATACATACAAAAAAAATACCCTCTTATGGTGCCATTTTTTCTAGGAACTCTGCAACCACTTTCGGGTCCACATAATCTATATTCAGTTCTGCGTCATACCAGTCTTTTTCAGTCTTATCGAACCAAATATATTTTCCCTTGAGGGACTGATCGGCGTCTAGCACCAAATAAACAGGGGCATCGCTGGCTTGTTCCACAGATATCATACCGCAGTTCTTGGTCATACTCGTAGTGACAAAGCCTGGGTGCAGGGCGTTGATACAAATACCCCTGTCTATATTTCTTTGCTGTATCCATGTGTACGCGGTGAGGGCTATTTTGGAGACTACGTATGAAATGAGTATAGTTATATTAAAGTCTTCTTGATTAAAAGTGTTACTCTTGACTGAATCCAAGAACCAGTGAATAAATTCTTCTACGTCTTTTAGCTTGAGATCTTTTCTGGATAATTTATCGATCCAATGTTTATTTTTCAGTCGTGATAGCAGCCCACAGTCACTCGATACATTGACCACTCTTGCGTTGTCATTCAGTAGGGGAAATAAATATTTTTCTATTAGCAGTATGCTGTAGAAATTGACATTTATAACTCGTGTGGCATCTTCATATGTTACCTTGTCAAACGTCTGCGTCATAACTGCTGCGTTGTTAATTAATATGTCAATACCTCCATGTTCTGCTTTTAAGAACTCCGCAAATTTCTTGACACTTTCCTCGTCAGTAACTTCTAGTTGGTGAAAAATAGGGTCGTAGCCTTCTTTTTTCAAGGCCTCTACTGCATCGGTACCTCTCTTTACATCACGTGCTGTTAAATACACTTTTTTCACTTCTCGCATACATAATTCCTTCACTACGCCGTAGCCAATACCCTTGTTGGCGCCAGTAACAACTGCAACTTTATCGAACATGTTTATGGTACGAAGTCCACGAACGAAATGATACTTATCTATGACTACGTGATTATATATAGTATTATTTTTTGTCCCTATATCGACACACATATACCTGCAATATAAAAGACTCGTCCCTTTTGTTACAAAAATAACCATTCACTAATTACTAACACAAATGGAGATACGGTTATCTTAAATTCCTAGGACCGAGTATCGGTACCTGCTGTTTGTTATTTTTGTGAATATTTGTAAGCTTTTGGGTTGTTTTTTTTTATCGTATTGCTTTAATTTTGTATGGCTATTTTATGACTTATGGATACGTAAAGTTGTACATAGACTTGATATTTTGTATATAAAAAGATTTGTCTCTGGAAACTGAATTATAATAATGGGTATTGTACCTTGTTGATGGTAGGCAGCTTAAAAATAAAAATGCACGGTACAAAGTTATTTGCGTATTTTACCAATTAATCAGGGAAGATGAAGTATTTACACAAATAAAAGTACTACATTAAAGTCACTATATTCTAGAAATACTTCTCGTTTTAGTTAATTTGTTATATTTTTATTTTAACAGATTAATTATGTTGAGAAAAGCTGGATAGCAGATTTTATAGTCTTAGAATATTCTTCGTTTACTTTTAAAGGATTCCAGAATACCTTTAAAATTGAATCATTTTTCGAAGCTGTGGTGCTCGCGTTTTGCCTTATCACGATGAAACGATTTGTCTCTCTCGCGGAACAAATTAAATTATATAAAATCTTCAGAGATCTCCACTTGAGGATTGCTTTCAAACATAAATCGTGTCTATGACAACCTTTGTGCACGTGTTCATAACATGAATGACACAACTAAGGCAATTTTTTTTTTATATTTACTCCTGCTAAAGTGAGTAATATGAATATTTTTCTTATTTGTTTTCCACGTCTACATACAGCCGCAAAAAATTACTTTTTAACATTTTAATATTTATTTTTTTGAATATATGTATACCTATTTTTATAGCTATATATGAATTTAAAAATCTTATCTTATTTAAAATAATTTATTGTGTAGGTAAGAGGGTGGTACCTACACGGAATATGAGATATAATTACTTTGTTTTTATAATGTGATATACAATATATAGATATAGTTGATCACACTTTCGTATATTTGGATAAATAATAACAATTAAAGAAAAATATTCGAGTCATCTCTCTATTTTTTATTATTTCTAATTTTGATACGAAGTTTTCCTTTGAAATAGCCTTTAAATTTCGGACAGCAAAATACCCACATGCAAGATAATAATCTCGGAACGAACAAAATTGAAGCATTCAGTGGGAATTTCTTGAAAATCTCGTAAATTGATACAACGCAAAAGGTTGACATGATTAGATCGAGGATTCCCACTGAGACCTGTTGGTTTCTAAAACTCGAGACATTGTGCTCTATCGGAAACCTCAGCAACTTTCACGTTACGAATTTTTTGGGCTCAAAAGATGTACATCTATCTGCCTTTAACTTTTACGAACCCAATATTATCTTGAAGGACAACTAAGGTATAAAGTAAACGTATTAATTAGCGTTATTGGTTACAGGCATTTTATACCCAAATCTGCTGATTCTTAGTGAACTGAAATTTTTGGTACATCTCCTTTTTAACAGGATAAAATACAATAAAAGTTATGAAATTCGAAACGCACTCAGTTATTGTTCCGATTATAGAAATTAAAATTACTGAACATCGTATATTCTTCCTAGCCCCAAAAACAATGTTAGGCTGACCGATGGTCGTGAAAGCCTTACACAATGTATCACATATTTTTTGTCATTTAGTACATAAATAGATGAATTTATCAGTCTGTTTCAGTAATATTTACTCGCTCCAGCACTCAAATCAAAATTTCTTTACCCTGTCCTAACTTATTCCTAGTAAACAAATAAACAATGATTGTAAGAATTAACACGGTCAGAGTTTAATAAAACGTAGTATTTTAAAGTTTTACTTCAATTAAGGCAGCATAAAACACAGTCCATATTACCTTCATTTCGATATAATTATTGGAACATTTCAAATTTAATCCGAACAAAGTTTCCAGCCGCATTCATACTTGGCAATTTGTTAATGCAAAACTATTCGTAAATGCTTGGATCATGTGTAATTCATTAACGGGATACGTTTTATTATTTCGTGTATGTTAATAGAGATTTATCAATATTCACTGTGATAAATATTTAATGACTTTAATAACCATAACTCCTGGTTTATTTATTAAGACACACAATATAGGTCTTTTTTGATTTGTTTTTATTGCCTTGAACAGATCGCTGCGAAGTTCGACGTTGCGATTGGCGACGCGACAGGCGAAACAACCATTAACGCGACCTTGTATCTCGTAATTCTGATCTCCGACGCATTCCTTATGTTGATTGAAATAAATGAAAATTGAGTTTGAAAACTTTAATATTTTTTAATGGCACTATATAAAGTAAATCCGATTATAGATTTTTCAATCTATAATCGGTAAACTTACGGACGGAAATTGAGGACTCCGTAGCTTAATTGGTTAGAGCAACAGCACCGAACGCCGAGGATGCTGGTTTAAGTCGGGCTGAGTCATACATTTTTTCAATATATAATCGATTTTTTATTTAAAATTAGTTGAAATAAAACACTTTAACGGTTTAAAATGCGATATATTTAAAAGTTCTTTATTTAAAAGTGTACTACTCGCATAAACTACAGACAGTATTAAAAATTAGTTATTTAAATTAATTTATCTCTTTATTGTCTGTAGTTAAATAAATTACATATTGAACTCAACGTTGACAAATTTAAACATTGATTAAGCATCGCAACGCTCACAATAAGTATCTTTGTGACTTGAACAAAATTTGGGTTTCTCGAAAAGGGTTCACGGGTAATTGGCGAGCTAAGTGGAAAAAGGTCGCTTTAAAATTCGCGGAATCCGACGAAACAGCCTTTTCTGTCAAACCCACGCTAAATCTCGGGGTCTCTTTGAAATTTTCACTAAAATAAGACACAAAAAATTAAATCTGGGTCGCTTTGAAGGCTTCGTTGAGTAGCCTATCCTAGCCTATCTATATGCTTATATTTATTATTTTTTCATATTTTCTATCCTGTATAGATTTTTAATTTTGCTTAATATATAAGAAGCTGGTAGTAAATTTAAGTCCTTATTTTTTATTTACTCGATGTGACGTTTATAAGTGTTAGGTACAAACGTAAATAAATGACTTTTGACTTTGACTTTTTTAATTTCTAAACAACCTGTCAGATAACGTCTCATCGATTTCGAGCTTTTGCTATAGATATTATTTTTTTATATTGACAGCCAATTAGAGCGTATTTAAATTAGAATAACGCATTTTTCCCAGCCAACTTACTTTTCTTTTTTAAACTTGAAATATTGTTTCTCCTATATGAGCAGCCAAATATAAGTGTCTCTCTAATAGACGTGTTTATTTACCACCAAATATTGCTGGTTGATTAAACTTCTGTGCTCCCTATGACCGAATAATGAGAACCATTTTGATAGTAATCAAATTTCGTCAAAATACTTCATATGGCAAAGGAATGTTTGACAGGTCAGCAAGTTGACAATAAATGAGGAGGTAGTATACAAGAACAAGCTACCCGCACGACCAGCTAACTATAAGGATCCGTCAATTCTAGAAATTGAAGTCAGAAGAACAAATACGGGCCTAAACTTTAAGGTTGCCGAATAAATATGTATGAAATTCAATTTGAATCCGTTATAAAAGGATCTGTTATTTGTCGGACCGAAAAAACCCTAACGAAATTCATAGTACGAAAATCCGAGGACGTAATTAAATCACAAGCGAACAGTAAACCTATTGAAAGCTTTACTCAATTACATACGAATAGCTTTGGCTTTAGTCCTTGTTGGGTTTATTCTATAACATTCTTTTAGTACACTTTGAGATAGGATATCTTGACCGGATCATACCCTAATACTGTGAAGAGGAAAGATGTGTTTTTGTGTGTACGTTTGTAATGAATAATCTACTGTGTAGATTAAAAATCTTTCATCATTAGAAAGCTGCATCTACCCTGAGTGTGTTACTATGTGTTATGTAAAATCGTATTACATTTAAATAAAACACTTTAACGGTTTAAAACGCGATATATTAGTTAAACTTATTTGAAAATGACTTTTAACTTCGGCCCGACGTTTCGGATCATTTCAATAATTTTCAAATAAGTTTAACTAATATATCGCGTTTTAAACCGTTAAAGTGTTTAAATCAATCTAAATTTTATGAGTTTTTTGAACTTATTTATTGATAAATTTGAAACCTCACTCACCTTTATTATACGTGAAAATGTATCAGTTAGTTATACTTTAAAATTAAGCTTTATCAAAACAAATTTAAATACATAAAAATATAAATTGAAAGATTTTACCAGTTTTTTAAACAGAGAAATAATTTAAAAGAAAATCTCAAGTGTTTATTTAATACCTGTGCAAAGCCGTAGCAGACTGTTTTTTTATAAAAGCAAGACAGACGACAATAGTGAAACCAACTAAATCCAACAAAACAGGTCCCTAAACAAGATTCTACCTACTTTGGGTATGGACGATCTCCTATTCAAGAAAACATGTAAAATATTTTTTATTTATTTCGAACACGTTTCATATATTTTACAACTATACGGTAACAACAGACAATAAATAAATTAAACTTTATGGCTAATAAATAGAAAATTATACAAATCCTTATTCATATAATAATATCACAGCTTGGTTATATTTTTAATTTTTGATATATTCTTTGCTGCTCTTACACTGTCTGGTAATGTGATATTGTCTGTATTTGGTATGGTTAAGGACAGAAGACCAGCCACCAGCGCCAGACTTCCGAAGACGATGGTCGGTAGATTGTCATTGTACAGCGCCTGTAAAAAATACTTATTTATAAATCTAGAAATTGTGCGCCTGTAGTTAATAAATCTTCAAATATAATTGTTTTTAAACAGGAGATTAAATAGATTATATTTTAAATATTAAACCCGACCGCGACTAGGTCTTGTAATAATTGCAATGGTAACTCACAAGCAACGGCGTCAAAGGAGCCATCGTTGCTCCAGCCCTGCCAGTAGTGGAGCATATAGCGAGGAGAGATTGTCTCGCATTCGTCGGAAATATTTCTGAGACAGTGACGTATACTGTACTATATGCTACCGTTATAGCAAACTTTCCAGCCAAGTAGATCACCAAGGACCAAAGCGAATTCCCTGTGTGAAAAAGATAACAAAAATATTAAAAACAACTTTATGCCTTGTACTATATATATTATGCATTAGTTGATAGCTCAAAATCGGATAGATTTATATGACAGACACAGGTAAACTAATTTCATTGACGCATTCTTGAAGTGAGTTAAAAATCTGATTGCAAAAAAAGTTTTCTGTAGGCAAGCTAAGATTTTAATAATTTAATATTGAAATAATGACAGATTAGAAATTCAGAAAAACTAATATTTTTACTACAAACTTACGTGGTATCAAAGTCAGACCAATACAGAGCAACCCTCCCAGCGTATACATAGTCACGAGAACCTTCTTTCTCCCGAATCTTGTCAAAACAATATAGCACATCGCATTAGCGGGGATCTCTATGAACACCACAAACGTATAATTAAGATATTTATTCCCGGCTAACGACACAGAGTTGATCGATAAACCGTAATACGCGAACGAACACGTGATCCATAAATAGCAACATAATACTAGTCTCAGTAACATCGTTTTAGACTTAACGACTTTCGTAAATACAGTCGAGAATTCCATTTCCTTTTTGCTAACTTTGTCTAATTTTACGTTGGCTTTAAGGGATGATAGTAATTGCTGGGATATATTAACATTGTTCATTTTTCCTGCCCTTTTCAGGATATCAAGAGCTTCGTCACACCTGCCTTTGCTGAGCAGCCATCTTGGACTTTCGTCGAGAAGAAATAAGTATGAGAGAACTAAGAAGGCAGGTGCGTATACGATTCGGAGCATGAGTCGCCAGTTTTGTAGAGCCCATGCCAGTAAAGACAGCGACATGGAACCCAAAATAAATGCAAAGTTTATCAATGTGTTGCCGAACACTCGACCGTTGGGGCGAACCAACTCCATACCTGGAAAATTTTCAATATCATGTGACTATGGAAGATATTCATTTACATATATTTTTATAAGAAAACTATTTAACGAATTGCATTGAAGTCTCACAACTAAATTTATTTGAAAAAACTACTTAAGTCCAATACGACAATTTAATTTTAAAAACTCTGTATATATGTTTAGACAAAAGAATAACTAATTCTATTTATTTACTAAATGACATGTTACCATACTATGTATGTAATTTTATAAAAAACCAACCAAAAACGAATGCAGCACTATATGCGCCGGCGCCGGTGGAAGTTTCTAAGAATTCAAAGACAATGAGCATTTCATAACTCGTGGAAAATGACCTGATAATTCCAAATGTAGCATACATAGCACTTGCTCCAGCCATGGCTTTAACTCTGCCAAATTTATCAGAGATGACCCCAGTCATAGGAAGAGCTATTAGGAATCCTGCGCAGGAAAATGTTCCTACGAGAGTTCTCTTCCAATCCTGGCATCCGAGGTTAAACTGAAAACGCAATTTTAGACAGAGTTTTATTAATGTGTTATTAAATTTTAGTATTGTTTCTATATCGTGAAGAGATGAAAAAGTCCTTAGTACTACATTATTTTACGGAATATCTTTTTTTAAAAAGTAGCTGACTTTCTGTAGGTATGTAAATATGTGGAAAATTTTGAAGTAAGGGAAAAATAATTTGTCAATAAAAAATATTAAAAGATAATCATAATAAACGGTATATCTGTTTTAAAAGAATTTGTTAACTAAAACTGTGATAAGCAAATTTTATATTAAAAGAAATTATAATTAGCATGCAGAAATTACAAATGCTATCAATACAAATACAATAGGTAAATAAAATAAAACACCTTAAAACCAACAGTTTAAAACGTAATATATTTTAGTTACACTTGTTTGACTTAGTTTTAAACCGTTAAAGTGTTTTATTTTAATGTGTACTACTCGCGTAAACTACAGATAGTATACAATAGGTAATATTTTATTATATATCTTCATTAGGTGTTAATATTATTATTAATACTTCTATTTACATTTTTTTACAGCACTTACATCCCTAACAACGGAATCTTCATCACTATAAACATATCTATCACATTTCACAAGTAAAGACTGATTGAAATAATTTTTATCACAGAACGCCGTATAATTATTTTTAATTTCGTATGTTCTACATTTCTCATACTTATTGTCATCCTTTGGTATTGCATATTCCAACCAACTATTATTGGCTTGTTCACATTCGGGAATTTCACATCTGAAAATATTTTAATTAGGTATTATTTTTGAATATTTACTAGCCAAAATGGACAAAATGACAAAGCTATAGTTAAAAGTGGTATTTATTAATAAGGAACTCCACTAGGTACTAATGAATTTATATTGTATTTAGTACCTTTCTGCTAATGTTAATTATGTCGAGATTTAAAGAATTTATCCTCATAACATTAAATTTGCAACTAAATGACAGTTTATTACTGGCATGAAATGAGGCCTCCAGAGGCAGAGTAGCCTAACTGCAATTTAACTTGAGTTATTTATATTTTCATGGTCTAAAATGTTAATTTACAAGAGCATAGTGACCGAAAATGGTTAACGCAATTCTTACACAAATTATAGTACAAATTTATTTTCATGTTTTTTGTTATTGGGCCACTCTGCGTCTAGCAGCCTCATATGACTGTTAATTCTTATGAAAACGATCTCATTACTATTCCGACCTCCAAGAAACCTAACGCAACACGGCATTACGTCTTAGTGTCACGTGAATCATAATTACACTTAACTTACCTATAATTTATATCCATAGCTTCAAAATTGAATACCGATCCATAAATGCCGGCCAAATAACACGGAAACAATAGGTAAACATAATTCAACACCGTATATTTCCCAAAAGTGCCCAACTGTCTCCACACGTCATCCAAATTTGAGCCGGTAGCTTCTGACATATTACCACTTACATGTGTATATACAACTGTGTTTTACAAGCAAATAAAATGATCAACACAATAAAACGCTTTAAATAAGATAATACTACTTTGTTGCTATGTTTTCAAGATCAAAGTGTTAGCTTCTCGAGACTTTATTTTATCTTAAATCGCGATGATAAGGAAAATGGTATTCAATGTTAGATAGTATTGTATAATGGCAAGAATACTTTATTATTGGTTAGTCAGTGTTTTGTTATTTTTAAACATAACTAAACTAAACGCGATGTTACTAGTAAGTAGTAGTTACTAGTCGCTTTGCAGTAGCCGTGGTCACGGGGGGTCTTCCCGTGACCACGCCTGCTGCAAAGCATTCGAAACGTCGGGACGAAGTTAAAAATCATTTTCAAATAAGTTTCATTAATATATCCCGTTTTAAACCGTTAGTGTTTTATTTAAATGTGTACAACTCGCGTACAACTTGAACAATAATATTGGAATCGTTAAATATTTACTGAAGTTGTTTTTCAGTGGTTCTTACCAAATGTTATTTAAAATAAATGAAGTAGTTTCGTATAATAACTGTTTTAACCCTTTAAAGATTGATTAAATTTAAATATATTCTTAAGTTTCCTTAAGTTTTATATGAAGTGTATTGAAAATACTATTTAATAATGTTTGAATATTTTAAGTCCGTGTGCTGCGGGTTCGACAACCTTGGTGAAACGGATGAAATTACAATGAAACAACAAGTTTTAATTAGAAAGTAAAATATCTTTAATGATAACCGTTAAACAAAAAATACAGTACTTAAGAATATAATATTGTATTATTAAAGATAATACGTTATTCGCTAAAAGTCTTTAAGATGTTTATTTTTTTACAATTGTAAAGAAGTCATTTTTTATTAAGTTTACATTAGATTGTAGAACTATAAAACCTAAGACTATTAAATGTTACAAATAGATCTCAGTACAAAACATGTGACGAAACGTTTCAGATAATAATTCTTAACTAAGAAGAAGTCTACATACCAGGTAGAAAAGGGTCCTATGTTAATAGTCTTTTTGCATATCAACTTCCGCACCCTAACATGGGTTTGGGGCTCACTTGGTGAAAGACGAAATACCCCAGCTATCTCAACCAGATGCGCAGCGACCTATTTTAACGCGCGATTAAACTTTTCATCTGTGGTTTTTATTTGAAAATTACGATTTGTCCACCAATTTAATACCTTTATTTCCTCCATATGGCCTCCTCCATAGGCCCCCCCATAGACTTCCAGTACGACCGGTCATACAGTCGGTCGTACGGTCGGTCGTATGTCATAATCAGAAGAAATATAAATGGTTAGAAACATTTTGGACCCGATGTACCAAACCCACGACCCGTTGATTATTATTAACACATTGCTGCCATTACACCAACTGCGTGTGCGTGTCAATTTCGTCAAATTTTGTCGCTTTTAAAGATTATATTATTTTTAATAAATATTTCATAAACATTCACAAATTATTTACAATTTGTAAAAAAACACAGATTTCCTTAGGCGTAATATGACGCTCGCCTGCAATTAACGAAGAGAGTAAGAGAAATTGAGAATTTATTAAAGTACAAACATTAAGATTTATTTTACAAATGACTTACATTAAGATACAGGTTTTATCGAATCATATTTAGGTTTAAAATTGAGTATTATTTTGTTCAAATCTTGTAAATAACAAAATCACTTACATAATCTCATTCTGTATTTAAAATAAGTACATTTATGCGTGTACATATATTAAGAATAAGTACAGTAATCACCGGCGAATCCATGTCATGGGGTATGTGTTCAGTTCTTCAACTGTACAATTAAGAATGAATATTTTTAAGTACAGTATGTTTACATTTTACTTCTATCTATTGTTATAAAAATTAAATTAAAGGCCTTGACCACCACTATGTGACCCTCTTGACGCCAAAACTGGATCCGCCCTTGACAGTAATAATAGTAGTGCTCAATCATTACTTTGTTTTTTGTTATGCGAAATACTTTTGGCCTCCTCCAAATTGTCAGGTAGTGTTTTGTTTAATGTTTCTGGCAACATTAGAGACAGCAGGCTTGCCAATAGCGCGACAGCGCCGAAGAAAATTGTTGGTAAATTTGTGTAGTATAGTGCCTGCAACAAAACAAATTAAATCACTAAATTATCATTTTTCGGTCTTATAAATATGTAATTAATTTCTGTCAAAGCAGAATAAGTGATTATTTTATCTAACGCATTTTTAAATACGCTACGTATTTGTTCGAATTAGTGCATAAACATTAATTTATCGTTATTTTGCCTATTCCGCTTAATACGTTTCGAGTAAGACGCATTTTTGGAAGGGTCCCTGAAACAGCGTCTTAAGTAGGTTTTACTGAATATTTAGACGATATTGATACAATTGTAAATAACAGACCACCGTAACCGTACTTCAATTTCGTAGCATAGCGGAATGCAGGGGAGTTCGTAGGTTCAAATCTCGAGGAAACGATAAATTGTTTTGATTGGGCATCGGAAGCACGACAAACTCTGGCATAATGATAACGATGTAAGGCTAAAAACCGAGCGGTGGGTTCGATTCCCACTCGCTCTGTTTCTAAACAATTTTTTATTATTCTGAAAAATATTGGACTTTGTCTGGGTATCTGGATATTAAATGGGTAGTAGCCTCCGGTTTAACGCTTCGGTTTCAGTCTCTAGATTTGCGAATATCCAAAGTCAATATAGGTCGATAGCACATCTTGTTGAGAATTTGTATGGGTGGAGTATTCAATGTAGTGAGCCCTATGCTTGTCTGTCGTCCACTTTTAGAAAAAAAGGACCAATAAGTGTTGGCCCCATGGTGATTCGGGGTGTTACACATAATGCTTAAGGTTTCAAACACATTAAAGGTTATGTACATTATGATATAAGTGCGGTAAGTTGAAAATTATAGCCGAGGCGATATTACTAGCCCGAGCCTATAAAAACAAGCTGTAATTTTCAACGACGTATGTCATAGATTTTATAAATATTTACGAGGAAATTAATAAATTCATCACTACTTGACGACATTTTCAAATAAAAACAATACAGCGAAAAGAAAAAGCGCGCGGAATCATTTTTACTTGTCCACAAATAACATTCAACTTTTTTTTAGGCAAAGGTACAAAAACAGCCAGTATTACTAATAAAGTAAATTAATATTTTTGTGTTTTTGTTACAGATAAATGGTTGTAATTTATTGTCAAAATTAATTAAATTAAAGAATTAAATGTTTATTTGTTATAATTTATTTCCCAAAGTTAATTTTATATAAATTGACCACTTTCTTGACTTAAAACCTCTTTGCTAAGATTTTTAAAAGTATCTTTCATTTTAAGACGAAGTATCTTAAAACTTTAATTTAAAAAAAAACGTGCCTTTTACATTACATTATCGCACAAGTACATAACGTAACTTTTACATTACGATATTGAAATTGGTGTAGGTAATTACAACCACTTTACAAGCAAATATGTATGTTATAAAGTTAGTTACCGTTGCGTACCCTACGAAATCTATTCAAAAAATAATCAAATAACTAGGCATGTATGAAAGAATGTTTTTTTAATGATTATGAAATGTCGGGCCGTAGTTGAATAATTACTTATACATAAGTTAACCTAATAATACATTTCGCATTTTAAACTGTTTTAAATTGCTCAATGCGAAAAAATAGCGTACGTCGAGACAGTGTATTACTGCCCCCCCCCCAGGGGCCCCATATTATACATTACAACATCTGCGCATAACGAATTCCGAACTTATTACGAATAACGAACGAGACAAGGAAAATAGAATGTTGACAAAAATGTGTGAAACAATAAACGCTATTTATAATGACGAGCAGGTAAAAAGGGATTTGTTATAGAATTTATGTTCAAACGTTATTTGTTCCGACATCATTATAACGAGATTTAAAATGTTGATAAACGTCATTACATTTCACAATATATCAATATCTAGCTGTGCCAGGGAGTTCGTCCGCATATAATAGGTATTTTGGGCGTCAACATTTGTTTGTGTGAACTTGCTCCTCATAAATTAAGGCTGTTACCCACGACGTCGTTCGCATCCCGTCGTTCTTGCAAGTTAATTTAAGCCGTGGTTTTTTTTTAGTTAATTTAAAGAGGACACATTCATACATATTTTTTGGGTATCTTAAATCATTTTCGCAGCGCAGGCAACAGAAAACCCACAAGGATGTTCTTATCATCGTTTTTTCACATTTCCGCCTGTTTCTTAGCTCCTATAAGTCGCATCGCGATGTTTTAATAATTTATCAACTCGAACCGTGTTCCTAAGTTAGCGCGTTCAAACAAACAATGTTCAGCGTTATACATATATTAGTATACCTAGATAACAGATTGTATAGCTCACAGGTTAAACGCATTGCCGCTAGTTCTAGGCTGAGATCGTGAGCAAAGGATAGATTGTTTGGCTCGGATAGGGCCCAAAAGTCTCATAAACTACACGATACAGACAAGAAATATGTTCACTTAAAAGGGAAGCGGACATGTACTACTACTTTTTCATAATGTCTTTTTTATTTTCTTAGTCAGGTAGCAGATAGTATGAAAAAGGTCTACCAGTGGGTAATAAAATGTGTTAGACAAAAAAAAGTACGATATAAGGCTAAAACTACCTGCACATCCTATATACAAGTCGCATAACCTGCGTTTAAAACAGCCCCACAAACCATACATACTCCTCAAAAACACAGAGTCGTAATAAGTCGTTGGCCTAATGGTAGCATAGTAATCAATTTGTCGTGGATTCGATCCCTACCTGGACCAACATGTATGTAATAAATCCCTATTTCTTCTTCTTCTTGAACTTTGTTTGGAAACCTTTATATTAAACGAAATTCCCTCCGGATCACGAACCACCGTTCACAGATGAAAATCCATTTCGTTTTTAGTCTATGGATTTCTGAATATTCAAATCCACAATAGGTTGACACGATGTGTGTCGTCTTCCTCTTTCATAAAAAATATACCGTATTTAATAATTAAAGCCGTTATTATTGTTTTATTTAATGTGTACTCGTGTATACAGACAATACATAGAATATACTAAGCTACTTACAAGTAACGGAGTCTGTGGTGCCAAAGTGGATCCTATCCGTCCAGTTGTAGCACAAATAGCGAGAAGCGATTGTCTCGCGTTAGTTGGAAACACTTCCGATACGGTCACATATACAGTACTATATGCTATTGTTATCGAGAATTTCCCGCCTAAATAGAGGACCAGACGCCATATTGGTAGAACTGAAAGAGATTCGTAGATATTAGTGATTCTTCATATTTAAATGGATCTATTTCTAGGAACTAGTCCGATAGTATTTTTCTGATCTAAGTTATTTGTGATGTCAAAGATTTTGAATGAAGTATATTTATAAATATAATCGCCTTAGTAAAATCTAAATTATGTTTGACCTACAGCTGAATATCGCATTGTCTTGTTAATGTTTTTACAAATAAAGAAGATTAGTGTTGTTGAGTTATGCCTAAATGAAAGCATGTGTTGATGACATTATTGTTTAATTTCTTTAAATATAATTTTGAATGATAATAATATAAATTATCTTTTTTTACGATTGAGAAAGACAGATAATGTTAGATGAAATACTTCAACCATATAACATTTAAACAAGATGTGCTCTCGACTTTTTTTGGCTTGGATATTCGGATATCCACAGACTGAAACCGACACGCGACTAGACTTCACGGTTTTTCATTTGTGGGTGGTGATTCGTGACCCGGAAGGATTTCCAATTATCCTAAACCAAAATAGGTGAACAGATAAGTTGTGTAAGGCTTTCACTGTCATCATTCAGCATATCATTGTCTTTCGGGCTGTTCGGCCGACGTGAGCGAGAAGAGGTTCTCGACGTTTCAGCCCGAAAGACAATGATATGCTAGATCAACGTTGTTAATGTATTATATAGTTGTGATATTTCACCTTCCATCACGTAAAACTCACGCTTGACTGCCCTCTTCTAACATAAAAAAAGACCAACGAGCGCATCAAATACTAAATAGAACTTACCCTCAGGGATGAACGATAAGCTCATACAGAATAACGAGCTTAGCATATAAACTGACACTAAAACCTTCTTCCTCCCGAACTTATCCAGTATCATCAAGCAGATACAATTAGCTGGCATCTCCACGAAAGATACTAATAAGAAATTGACGTATTTGTTACCGGCCAAGAACACAGAATTGATAGATAGACCGTAGTAAGTGAACGAGCAGGTAACCCACAGATAACAGCAAAGAAACACTCTGAAAGCGATCGTCTTTGACCTTATAATCTTTCCTAGAACGGAAATAAAACTCTCTTCCTCTACTTCTGATTTTGTCTCGATCTTCAAAGAGTTAACCAAGTCTTCTCTTAGTTTGACTCTATTCATTCGCTCTGCTTTCTTAATTACGTTTATTGCTTCTTCATATTTCCCCTTCGAGAGCAACCATCGTGGGTTCTCGTTAAGCACGAATATGTAGGATATGATAAAGATCGAAGGTGTGTAAATAGTTCTGAGGAGATACCTCCAGTTCTGAAGATACCAAGCTAAGAGGGAGAGTGTCATTGTTCCGCTGTTGTAGGCAAAGTTTATTAAGGTGTTGCCGAAGACTCGTCCTTTTGGTTGAACGATTTCCATTCCTATAAAAAATTATTGGTTTTGGTCATTGAAATTATCACGCAGTTTTTATTAAAATATAAATTCATTTTACAGCGAAATGTAATCTATAGTAATACATAAAGCTGAAGAGGTTGTTTGTTTGATCACGCTAATCTCAGGAGCTACTATTTATTGTTTGAACGCGCTAATGTCAGGATAGTAGTTCCTGACATTACAGCATTTATCGTGGAAGGTTATAGGCTATAAAACATTGCGTTTTGACTGTGTGGGACTGTGAATGGGAGCAACAGTGGACAATGTGGAAAAAAACGGGGAAAATTATTCTCTATATCTCTGTGAGTTTTCGATGCGTACGCTCGAAAACGGTTCAAGATACCCAAAAAATATGTTTAAGATTAACTTGCAAGAACGACGGGAAGCGACCCGACGTCGTGAGTATTAGCTAAAATTTATAAAGGTTTTCAAATACAAATTCGGATGCCCAAAATTTCGCTGATACAGCCAGTTTTAGAATACACTTGAAGCAAAGCCTTACCCAAAACAAAAGCAGCGTTATACGCGCCAGCACCCAATGCTGTCTCCAAGAACTCAGTAGCTATCATCATAACGTAATTGACAGAGAAAGACCGTATGACTCCAAAGACTCCACAAAAAAAGCAAGCTATGGAGACCGCTTTAATTCTTCCAAATTTATCTGATAGGATTCCAGTCACGGTTAAAGATACGAAGAAACCGGCTCCATACATCGTACCTATTAGAGTTCTTTTCCAGTTCTGGCAGCCGAGGTTGAACTGGAGCAAATAAAAATACCTTAAATCTGAATACTGTCTGTAGTTTACACGAGTAGTTCAAATTTAAATAAAACACTTTAACGGTTTAAAACGTGATATATTAGTTATACTTATTTGAAAATTATTTTAACTAAGGCCCGACGTTTCTGTTGCTTTACAGCAGCCGTGATCACGGGGACAGTTTACCTAATATATATCGCGTTTTAAACCGAGGTGTTTTATTTAAACCTTAAATCTCACTTGTGAACAACGCAAGGTTTTTGTGTAGTTCTCCTGAAGGTCACAATGATGATCCATTTTGGGGTCTTAAATTTAAACTTTATTTTGACTAACTTAAATTTTTTTGAAAAATAACGAGATTGCATAAGTAATGTCTGTAGTTTAGTATAGGAGATTTTTCAATAAACACTTTTAACGGTTCATAACGCATTACATAATTGTTAACTTATTTACAATTTGTTTTAACTATGGTTCGCTTTGATCGCTGCTGCGGCCAGAATTTAAAACTAGTAGGAATATATTTCGCGTTTTAAACCGTTAAAGTGTTCTACTTAAAAGTAAATTATACATGATTGCTATTACAATTTTATTTTTCTTTTACTAGTATATTCCGGCAAACACGTCATTATTATTGAATTTGATAAATCATAGCATTGTATTTGTTTTCTTAGATAATGCGGGAGTAGTGATGACACTAGAAGCTTATCTATAGGTACATACTTACACATCCTTCACAACAGAGTCCTCTGAACTGTAAACAAATGAGTCGCAGCCCACGATATCTGAACTAAAGCCATTAGGACCACAAAAACCGTCTGTTTGATTAAGAGTCTGGTATCTCTTGCACTTGAGGAATTTGTTGTTTTCCTTGGGTATTGCATATTGCAGCCAGATCGTGTCATTTAGGGCTTCGCATTCCGGTATTTCGCACCTGGTTCAAGAATATGTAAATTTTGTATCGTCTATAGTTTACGCGAGTAATGCAAGATTAAATAAAATACTTAAAGGTTTAAAATCGATGTATATAAGTTAAATAAATTTTTAATTTATTGCAACTTATATATTTCGCGTTTTAAACCGTCAAAAATGTATTGTGTGTCAAACGTTTATTTAACAGTAAATTATCGCTATTGCAATTCTATTTTCCTTCTAGATATATTACTTAGCTGTAGACAAAATAAATTGGTGAAACTGACACAAGAATATTTCTGCGCCATGGCCTACATAGAGGAATGATTTTTTTTTAATCACACAATTATGCTACTTCTATTTCAACTACAAACGCGCCTCAATTATTGTCTCGATTAAAACATTACTCACGTGTTAAAAATAAACATCCGTCAATATGACGACGGCTTACAATTAAAATTCTAATTGGTTTGAAGTGCCTTTCTATTTGTTTACACGTCTCTAGAACTAGCCTTTATGTCTTATAGTTTCAAGCAGTTTTATCGTAGGTATTTGAATGTTTAAACGCAAGCAAAATATTATTAATAGGTACTTAGTTCCTCTAAAACATTGTCATCCTAAAAAATCGATCTTTGAAACTCGTGTGAAGTCAAACGAAATTTTTTAAGTTTTTTTTCTTTACCTAACCAAAAGAAAGTTTCGATAAATTGGTTACATTAAACACTCACCTATAATTAATATCCATAGCTTCAAAATTATATACAGATCCATACATCCCATATAAATAACAGGGAACCAAAAGAAACGCATAGTTGATAACAGTGTATTTGCCGAAAGTGCCTAAATGCGCCCAAACCTGGTCCAGCGCTGATCCAACCGGTTTCGACATCCTCTTGACTGTTTTTATAGCAGACACTATCACTTTAGTATATCTTCATTTCACTAGTGTCAGATTACAACGAATACTGTCGCAGACTCACTAAGCAACAAGATATTAAATATATCAGAATAGATTAAACGAAAAACTCGATGTCTGCCAGTTACATTCAAACTAATTGAGAAAATGGTTCAATCAATGAAATCTTATGATAAAATAGTAAATAAAATTATCTATGGTAAAAGGAAATCGATTTATGTACTCAATGTCTAGCGATAACCTATAAGTACAGTGCATACTGCATGAATCTGTCATCGTTTTTGTTTTGCATTCAATGCTAAAATTGTTTCTAGCGCCATCTATTGAAATATCGCGGCACTAGAAAATTATCGTATAGGAAAGTATTGACAACAATTATTGATTTCTGGTGTAAATATTTTCCGATTAACATAAGAGATGGCGCCAAAATTTCTTAGCAGTTTCGGTAATATGTTACGTATAATACTTGAGCACTTGTTATACAGTTAGCTGTAAATGTTCTTAAAAACTGTATAAACAATGTTATATAATTAAAAAATTCAGTATAGTCAATTCAAGGAAAATGAACGCCTGACGGTAAACGTATACCTGAGCAGGCCGAATTCCAAAATGGCGCCGGCGGTGAAAATTGTGGAAAAGTTAGCTAACGCTAACGAACCTCTTTGTTCTCCTTGCGATGGCTCCAACCATTATTTTAGGCTTTGCTGACCAGTCTAGTTTCTGCCGTGCTTTTCAAACGACGAAATTCGTCGACAGATCTGACTAAGTTTACGTGGATCAGGTCGTGTGCTTTTTTACGAACTTTTGTTTGTACCCATTAAATGAATGCAACTGTGATAGGAAAATGCAGATTTTTCTGTAGTATTGACATTTGACAAAATGCGAGCATATACATTACCCATTAAATAAAAGGATTACAGTTATAATTCGCAAATATGTTACACATACCCACTAAATAATGATCTTCAAATTGCAGATGTTTTATTTTTCTACGTCTACATGCGCTTTAAGAGATGTCTTAGATGCATTTAACTTTTATTTTACAATAGAACTTTTGTTGTTTGTTTATTCGATTAAGAGTAGGTAAAGCATGCTCCATTATCACTGGGTCACTGATATTTTGTACAATACTTACGAGCCACCGCTGATAAGATTTTAGAACCAGCTGCTCGAACTTTGTAACCACCTCGGAACCTTTACTAAGGGTCACAACTCGAAAGAACTACTTACGCTGTTCTCGCTAATATTGACAAATTCGAATGGTATTGAGTAGTCGAGCGAAATTTTGAAGACTATATTTAACTATATTAATTAACTAATTTTTAATTTATTTCGGTTGCTATGCAATATCTTCATATATCCTATAAATCTCCTGATACGATGTTTGTCCGCTATGTCCGATTTTAAATTAAATTGGCACACCGTGAGCAGTCTGGTTCTCCTTGAGGCATAGGATAGTTTAGATCTTTAATTATAGTCGCAATTTTATTTTTTTGCAAATTATTTGTCTATAAATAATTGACAGTTACAATGGATTGAGTAAGTAATCGATAGATGGCACTGCTATGGTAAACCGACAAACGTGTCATATAAGCTACAATTCAATAGATGGCATTGCTATAAGCAATAACTTCAGCCACAGCAACGCTATTATTATAATATATTTTTGTTTTTTTTTTTTTGTGCAATAAAGTGTAAATAAATAAATAAATAAACATATATATAATATTTCGTGCCGTAGTCACGGGGTACTGTCATTATATTACTTGTCAAAATCCCCCTACCTAAGATTTCCGACTAATTTGTGCAGTTTGTCTTATAAAGGCCAAATAGCAGACCAAATGTTGTCAAAGCGCACCTGTTAGATCAGCCGATGGATAATTTTACTGGACTGATGTAAAATCGTTGAACGAAAATAAAATTCCTATTAAATAAGATAATTTAGATTGATCAAAGTCATGTTATTTACTTAACTGTTTAACGAGAATCAACATTCTTTTTTCATGTAAAAGATGTCAGGTAAGTAGTAAAATTGTGAGGCATCGAACTCGAACGCGAGAACAATGATTTATGCAATTCGTACCTAATACAAATAATAAATCGTAGTAGGGGTTAGAAAAGTTCGTAACTCGATCAAAGTTGCTTTAGCAAATGTACCAGAAACCTTTGAAGGTTTAATCGAAGATTGGAAATCGTGTCCGTCATGTAAACGACGCTTTAACCAACCGATTAGTGGTTACAAAGATAATTTAAAACTTTCACCATTAATCTTGTTGCGAACTGGAAAAAATACTTAACGAAATTAAAAGATTTTAGATATTTGTCAAGCTTACTAGTCATTAAATAAGACAGTTTCAATGGTAAATTAAAAATCGATTAACATTTTTAAAAATTCGGAAACGACCAGGACTTGAATTGACATCCACAGCGTTTCGTGTTGTTGCTCTAACCAATTGAACCGGTTTTAATAGTTTTAATGACTATTAGTCGCTAATTTTCTATCTCGACATTTGGCCATCATGATCATTATTCTTCGAGCAATCGAGGAGCGAACGGTATCATCTCCTGTAGATACCGTCCGCTCGTGATGAAGAAGCATCGAGAAGCTCGATCACGCCGGCTGAACAGCCCGCAAAACGATATGCCATCTACCTACTTTTCTTAATTGAGTAAAGTTGGTACTTTTCCACCTCCAACTATAAGTCTATTTAATCCTATTATTGTTTACTATCTTAGCATCTACACTTTCGTAGATAAGTACTTGAAAGGGCAATATGAAATAATCGCTTCGTAGACAATGCAACAACAGTGTTAAGACTTGTAAATGCATGTACAAACTTACTGTAAGATTTATACAGAATCTTATTATAAGTTTGCATACTTACATATTTTGTATTATTATTGGCGTTATAATATTGTGTATGTGGCCCATACAATCTCTGTAACTATTCATTCTTTTAATGCATATACAATCTGTTTGTTGTGACTATATTATACATATACACGAGAAGTGTGAAAATATACTTAGCAACATTTTAAATTCTATTTAAAATGTCTCGTTATTAAGATTTGCAAGATATCGAAAAAAATAGCTGTCATACATAGGTTTAACATTGACAATAAACCGCCATCTTTAGCCCCCCGAAATCATGGCTACTGAAAAGTATCCGATTCGTCGAGTCGTTGTTAAAAATACGTTAAAGAATATATTTCGCGTTTTAAACAGTTACAAGTGTTTCATTTAGTATTCTTTTTTTAAGAAAATCACAAACCTACAGGCAAAATATTGTATTACTTATTTTTATTTGTATAAAACCTATTTAAGACACGTGTATATAGATTCTTAATATTTAATGAAATATTGTTATTTAAGAAATAATATCGAAAAGACTTAGTAATGTTATACGGGCGGTACCTATTACGTGTATCGGTATTTGTATATCGGGATTTGAAATTATTTTTATTTTCCTATCGCAACTCTTTAATCCTAAACGCAAAACATCAAAAAAAGAATAAAATACCCTTTACGCGGGCCAATTAAATACTATCTGTGGCAGACGCGTCATTATTTTTTATTCCCTTTCAAAGCTTCTGCCGTTTACAAATAAATGGTGTTTGATTTTATGACCGATCTGTAGCTTGTTATGCTGCTCGTTACGAAAAGAACTTTTATTTTATTTTTGTGAAAATATTTATTACAAACGGAGCTAAGTCGACTCTACAATACATATTCCGTTGTGCTAACAATATTAAAAGGAAGTAGCAATTTTATAACATCTTTATAATAAATATTTTAGCAATCGGTCAATGAAACTTATTTCCAACTATAAAATCAAACTATGACAGAACTGAACTGAAATTTCGTACTTAGAGTATACTTAGCATTAAACTAAGCTTATAACTCTTATCTCTATGAACAGAAGGTCCTAATAAGTACGTACCCAAAGATTTTTTACCTGTAGGAATTTTAAAAATAATAATTAAAGATATAATCTTTAACGTTATTCTGCATAAGCAGAGTAAATATAATGTAGTAGAAATAATTTAAAGCCAGATAACTACTACTACTTACTTACTTCGTACGGTAATTAAATTTTGCAGATATCGAGTTATTGTTTTGCTACAAACAATACCAATACAATAATATTACATTGATACAAACTCCCGTGACGTCACATTCCCGTTTGATAATTAGACCACGTGATATCGAAGAAATACATGGCATTAGTTTATTAAAATATTACTAATCAAATCACTGAAGTTATTTTGCATCTGTGGTGTACACTGTATGGTTAATTAAATATTCTATGATAATTATTTATAGCGCCACATTAGCGACGCAACACTACATCTATTTATCTCACTCACACCTACTCGTTAGCGCAACACTTATCTCTTTTCAACCCGATACCATTTTACTAGAGAATATCAATGGTTGTAAAGTTTTCGTATTAATATGCAAACTGCTTTACGAGTAGTCGGAATACAAACCCGTTGACAGTAGAACGGTAATTTGTGGACGCGTGGAGAAATATTTTGATTTTGACATTGATTCACGCATGCGTAGAATGCGCGTCGAAATCTATCAATGATCCCGGACCACGCTTAAAACAATTTCGTCTTAAAATAAAACATGTTTTTATGACAGTGAAGTGCTTTTTATAATTAAAATGGCTAAAGATTTCGGTTTAGACGCGATCCTAGAGGAAATTGGACCGTTCGGTAAATACAACGTGATTAATTATGCCTTCTTACTGTTTCCTATATATTTGGCGGGAATGTATGGTTCGGTGTATGTTTTCGAAGCTTCCGATATTCATTACAGGTATGTGTATTGAAACTATTTAATTTAAATTGCATCTAAAATCAAAAAGTGATTTAAAACATAACAAATTTATTAAGTTTTTATTTTTGTGATTCAGAATCAAAAGTTATACGTGTTATTACTAGCAAAAATTTAACTTAAATATTTATATTAGTAGGTTTCGTCAAAAAAACCCCCCTTGCCCTCCATTCTAGTATATAGGTTTCATTTGAAATTTTATTTTTAGAATACATAAAAAAACGTATGTTAATATTATAATATCATATTATTACATCACAAAAGTAAAATATAGGTTATTTTTGACTAAAAACAGCGTTGACTGAAGCTCGCGCATGCGCGTTGCAAAAAGCTTGTATCAACGACGGAAATACATTAGTTTATTGTCTTTAATAATTAGCGATATTATACTCGTTTTAATATATTTTAGGACCAAAATAGTATATTATTACGGAATAACAGTATGCTGTTTTAATTTTCAAAGAACTATGAATTTTTTGGTTACCCAAATAGAATTGGTTTTACGTTTTGTGTTTTAAGTACCGGAAAGGCTATAACAAAAGAAAATTTAGGGGAATCAAAAACAGGTTGAGTAAGTTTAATATGAATGTTAAACCGGGTTACATTCGGGAATACATCACAAGCGTGTTACCATTGGTTGTTCACGTTGAAGATGGAAAGAATATTGTTTTAATTACATCAGAAATCAATCATATTTATATTGCCTTGCCTCCAATACTAGGTTTTAGGTATAGGTTCGACATACTAAACAGGTCTACCTTAGAAATAGTAATCAATAAATCCGCCTCCTCGCTTGGTCGGTCCAACACATCGGTTGCTTTATATTCGTTATTATTAGTATTTTAGATTTAAAATTACGATTCTATGCATATACAGTGCACAATGAAGATAAAAATTGATTTGAGGATCAGACACAGTGTTACGTCTTATCAACGCTGTGATAAGGCGGCAAGCCGAATCACAAAAATGCAATGTCTTTCTTTAATATATTTATGTATGGTTATACATACGTGGTTATAAAACAAAGACTATTTAAAATGCATTGTTCAATGGCATTAGCGTAAAGATATGCTTAGATTAAATTGTTGGTCTGTTTACCCCTTTTTTTTTTATTCTTGGTTAACTACTAGCAAACACTAGCCTTTAAACAGGCAACTAATTCCAATTTTATTCGTTCTAATGAGAATCACCTTGAGTACATCCCTATTTCCCGCAAGGAAAACGCTTATAATTCCCATAATGCTCCTACATACAGGTTTAAAACCGGATTTGTTTGTTTGATCATTTGTCACGTACGAATGTGCTTAACTCAATCAAGGTGGGATTAAAGATCCCAACCTGATAATAGGTTAGGAACGTTCTGTTTATGAGAAAGTACCCAATCTCCCATGAGCTATAACTGTAGACAGAATTTACTTGGTTTAATTTAAATTTCGGATTTAATCTCGTGATTCATTTAATTTAAAAACAATTTGAAATAAAAATTGACTTACGATTTTTTTTACTCATATAATAAATAAGCCAACTATATTCTTCTTATGTGTATCTTATTTTGAAAAAACCTTGTGGGTATATTTTGATCAAATAAATGTCTGCAACTATTTGATCAATAATCACAACGCTTTACAATCTTTATAATATTATATTCATAACCTAAGCGCGCACAATGAGCGCTAAAATGTTGCATTTTGCTTTTTTTTAAGATTTTCTACTTTTAAGCAAATTGAATATATGGGAAAATCCTACATACTTAGGTCATAAACATCCACTTTCCATCAGTTTGTACAGCAATATCACATACGCCATCACTTACAACTGTTCGTGCACCACACAATCAATCACTGCAGTTACACGGACTGATATTAATTGTATTCGCTTCTATATTACAATGGGAGTCGGCTCTTGTCACACTAACCCAGTGTCACGAGATAGAATAAATTATGAATCCATTGTAATCAATAAGATAAAATAGAAATAAAAAATTATTACAACACCGATATTGATAATTGCGGCGTTTGTAAACGAGCTCTACTAGCTCTGCTAAGTGTACGTTTTAGTATATGTTTCGTTGGAGTTAAATCATTTATTTTCTTTGCTTACGAATTTGAAAAACAAATCAATAACTTCAAAACTTAAAGTTATTTTTTATTTATTATATTTTTTTCTTTTCTATGACTATTTGTAAGACAAAATTATAAGTGAAATGTTTGTTGAGAGACTCTCAACAAACATTTCCAGTTACCATCGGTGTTACAGTGTTTTACAAAATATAATATAACAGCACTCTTTATAAATTGTGTAAGGCTTTCTCGGTCATCGTTCAGCATATCATTGTTTTTCGGGCTGTTCGGCCGACGTGACCGAAAAGAGGTTCTCGACGTTTCGCCATCACGAGCGGACGGCATCAACGGAGATGCTTCTTCATTGCTCGAAGAATTAATTCGGCCCGTTCTCGCTCACGTCGGCCGAACAGCCCGAAAAACAATGATCGAATGTCAATCTGGTTTTAGGCCAAACAACTAGCTATTCTATTATTTTCTAGGTGTAACGTCCCACAATGTGAGAACCTAAATCACTCGGCTTGGCTTAAATACGCGATACCACAGGAGAAGGCAGCCTTATCCAGGTGCAAGCAATTTAATGTTTTGGACAATTCTACTTGCAGTAAAGAAGCCTTTAACACGTCAATAATTAAAGATTGTAGTGAATTGATTTATAGTGATGAAGATTCTGCTGTCCGAGATGTAAGTTATATAATATATTTTAACTCTACAACCTAATTAAACCAATAGAAATAGCTTATCTTTTCTAATATACAATTTTAAATACAAACACGAATATTTTTTATTGTCACAAAACAAGAAACAGAATTTAACACAAAATAAAATTGATTGGGACAAAACATAATATACTAGATAACTGATGAAATAGTAATAAATAGTAATTACAGAAATTTATCTAGAAATTAATTTATGGACTATATTTTTTTCGTAAACATATTTTATAATATAATATTGCTGTCACAAGTGTCACAAGTGAGTAGCGTTTTGATTGAGTTATAATTTTATATACATAAAAATAGACAGTGATGTACACGTCAAAAATTATATCAATTTATTATTGTGCGTAATAAACTTAGTCATTGCTATGTATAACTCCTTGTATTGCAGTCTTGTTAACCTCCATTATACTTTATTATGTATTATACTAACTAAGAGCATAATAAAATATGTGTAGTCTTTGAAGTCATTTTAATCCGCAAATAAATGTTTACAGCTTTTAGACTATCTCTCGTATCGAGCCACACCTCCATCACGTGTGGGCCAAGTATCCACCACGCACGAGACATCGCTGTTTATTTCGGTCATTGAATTACTGATAGGCTGACTTTTGCAACGAGTATTAGATATCAAATATTATGTAAACAACTGATAATGTCTAGGTCTTGCTTTTTGTGATAATTGTTTATTGTTAGACTTTTGCCTAGAAACATGCCGTATAAGAATTAACGCCTGCTTAAATATTTTTTCATATACACTTATATTAAATGATAAACCTACATCTTTTGGCTTTGTATCTTCGAAAATCAACAGACTGAAACCAAAACATCACAAGATATTTAAATAAAACACTTTAACGGTTTAAAACGCGATATATTAGTTAAACTAATTTGAAAATGATTTTAACTTCGGCCCGACGTTTCGAAATGTCTCGTTTCGTTAACTAATATATCGCGTCTTAAACCGTTAAAGTGTTTTATTTAAATGTGTACTACTCGCGTAAACTATAGACAGTATTTCATCACAAGATATTTTAGAAAAAAAATAAATTTATTAGAAAAATGTTGGACTCGGTGGGGATCAAATCCACGACCGTTGGTTATTATTAGTTATGCATTGCTATCATTACACCAAACAGCCCGTCAAAATAATCTTTGTATTGTACTCAAGCTCAAAGGCTACAAGTTTTAGTAGGACCAGAATCTAACACCGCCATGCTTGTAATCTTTTTGTTCCTTCTATGATTACGATGATGACTCAGGTATAGTATTCTTTCAGTTCGACCTGGGATGCCAGAATTGGAAAAGGACACTTGTTGGGTCGATCCACAATGCAGGACTCTTCATATCCCTTCCTATCACCGGGATAATGTCCGACAAATATGGTCGAAAGGTTGCGTTATCTGTAGCCTCCCTGATGAATGGCATATTTGGCTTCCTCAGGTCATTCTCCTCCAGTTACGTAATGCTACTTATATTTGAGTTCCTCGAAGCTGCTTTGGGTGCTGGTGCCTATAGTACTGCCTTCGTTCTTGGTAAGTTTGCGCTTACTTATACAAAAAGTATCCAATATAGAAAATACTATGCATTTTTTATCTGTCGTAAAATATTAGACACTAAATTATACACACAACTTTTACTTAAGAACAGAACTATAAGATTGTTAACAGTGTTCTTTCTATACGTTATATTTGTTATATTAAAATCCTCACTAGATCTGTTGTTAAGTAACTGCTTCTTTTAGCTATGGAGCTTGTTGGACCAAAAGGTCGAGTTTTCGGTAACACCCTTATCAACGCGGTCTACGTGACCGGTCTCATGACCCTCGCCAGTCTCTCATGGTACCTACAAAGCTGGAGGAACCTCCTCAGAATCATCTATATACCAGCAACATTTGTCTTCTCCTATCTTTGGATACTGAACGAAAGCGTGCGCTGGCTACTGAGCAAAGGGCGCCACCAGGAAGCCGCAACAATTTTAAAGAAGGCTGCTAAAATGAACAAAGTGGATCTTTCTGACAATGTTTTAACTCCTTTGTACGAGCTGGATAAGCTACCAACGGACGCAGATAACGAGAAATGCAAAGAAGACGTAGTCGAAGAGAAAGAGTCGATGTTTATGAATGTGATTAAATCTAGTATAATTCGAAAGAGAGTGGCAGTCTGTTCGTTTCTGTGGATAACTTGTACGTTTGTCTACTATGGGCTTTCGATAAACTCGGTGTCTTTAGCGGGAAATAAGTATGTGAACTTTATGCTCGTGGCGTTTGTGGAGATTCCGGCTAACTTCGTCTGCTTATTGGTGTTGGACAGATTTGGAAGGAAGCGAGTGTTGATAACTATGTACGTCCTCAGCGCTTGCTTGTGCATCAGCTTGTCATTTATACCGAAAGGTAAGCAGAGTTTTATACTTTCTCTTCTTGAAATCTTGGTTTAAGAGACAGCAGGTCTACATACAAGATATATGTATAGTCTATATTCTTCTATTTCTCAGTAATATTCATCTGTTTTATGTATGTTATAGCAATTGAATAGTCCAAGTTTAAACTCAAGTAAGCAGAGTGTCCCTAAATATTTATCATATCGCCATCAAAGTTAGCCGTTACCTGAAACGGTTCTCGGTTCATTCATTTATTCATGCAATGTTTGTTGAGCGATCTCAAGTCGCCAGGAGAATTACTTGGAACTGCGTTGATACTATGTATCTTAGTACTATCAGACAGCTTAACGTGACTCCTCCATTAATCTCAGTATATACAACCAATTGTAACAAAGTTTCTGCATCAGTTATCGCGTCTAATTCGGATTTGCTTAAATTTCTAATCTTATCTAACATTTTTATTATGTACTATGAGTATACATTATAAATCTGTGACTTTAAACAAGAAAATAGTTACACATGAATTCATCTGTAACCAACATATCATTTAAGACACTCATAATTTTATTTATATGTAAAAACTTTATAAATTTAAAATGTATTTTGATTCAAAATCGATTTTACATATAAATAGTTGATTGATTGGAGCAATCGGCTCGGAACAGCTGTGGATGCCGGTTGAAGTCCCGCTCGCGGCATCAAAATTTATTAATCTAGTTTCGATTTTTATATTTATTTAATGCCATCATGTGAAAAATATTTATGTTTTCAAAATTTTTTCATATTGATAAAATGGAAACACACGGGCGGGACTCGAATCTGCACCCATTGCGATCCGCAATTCTCCTCTAGCCAATGCCTGTAACTGCCTCTCGTCACATCATCCACTTTCAGTAACCAATTGACACCTAATACTTTAAAGGAAGCCTATCATACGAAGTTTATTTACATTTTTAATATAACGATTTTTTAACCGAAAGGAAAATAAGTAAAAACTGAGCATTGAAACACAGTTATAGAATAAGGAAAACATGAAAGTAAAAAGGAAATGTTTTGATGTTTTCAATACGAAATTGGAGTAAGTATTTTAGAATAGGTAACCAACACGAAAATAGATTTGATTCGTCTTAAATTAGATACAATATCAACGCTTTGGTGGAGTTATAAAAGATGTGAAATTCTAGATAGCCTTGCTAATTAGTGAGTAGCGTACGGATGAAATTTCGTCTGTTACTAATGACTTTTTTGTTGGAATTTCATCGATATATATAGGAGTATGATTATTTATATAGAGGCATGGTAATTTGAAACATTTTAGTAGGGTTCCGTGACTATCGTAAAAAAAAGAAACGTTCTCGCAATAACTACAAATACCAAAACAGCCTTTGATTTTTTGGCTTAAAAGGTATAATACAAATGTGACTTTGTTCACGTGTAATAGTAAATTTGGGCATTGGGTTTTATATAATATTAATATTTTATTACAACATAATTATATATTATTATAATTTATTATAAATTTACTTAGTCCATGGTACGGAACCCTTAATACGAGAGTCCGTCACACACTTGGCCAGTTTCATTTCATTTATAAACCGCACAAAATAATGCCACATAAATATGTTTTAGAACCTATGAATAAGTTATGCGCTGTAAACTCAGATTCAATCTTTGCTATCTAGGTTATTGCTTACTTTAGTTTTATATTGAATATTCTATAGTAGATACGACAAATAATATTGAATTAATCATATAAAAATAAGTATAAAAACATGTATACATTCGAGGGACGCCTCATGATAGGGAAATTTCATTAAAATTAGCTGAAAAGTAACAAACTGATCTTCACTCCCAATTTCGCACTTCTAAGCCTGCGGGTTGAATATTGATAATCTCTAGAAAATACCTTGTAGATTACAAGTTTTATATATTCTACAATATTTATTAAATATTGTCTGTAGTCCGAGTAATACACATTTCAATAAAACACTTTTAACGGGTTAAAGCCTGAAATGTATTAGTTAAACATAAACTTAGCATTCAAAGAGGACGTTCAAACATGTCAAATAAAAAGTTACAAATCAGGTCCGCCATCTTTATACGTGTTAAAGATACAGAATTCAAAAAAAATATAATTAGAAAAGTATTTGTTTTAAATACTTCTGTACATATCATAATTTTTCCTGTGTAGGTCAAAAATGGTGGTCGCTAGTTCTGTATCTCTCTGGCAAGTTCTCGATCACAGTGGCTTATAGCTCTGTGTATATTTACGTTTCGGAAGTCTTCCCCACAAGGGTGAGACAATCGCTTCTAGCTGTTTGCTCGTCATTGGGCAGAGTTGGCTCTACTTTGGCACCGCTGACGCCGTTGCTGGTAAGATTTTGGATGATAAAAAAAGTTCCATAAAATAAATTTTAACATAACACTTGCTATGTAAAAACAAAATTAAATAAACTAACATATGTACAATATAATGCTTATTTTTATTTTAAGGTCTTTATTCGAAGAAAATAGTTTTTAATTTTTGCCTGTAGTTAACACAAGTGGTACCTATGCATTTACGCAAAAACTACTAATGGTTTAAAAATCTAAATTAATTAGTGAACTATTTTTTTATTAAATATAACTACGACCCGACGTTTGGGACATATCGGTCGAGTCGTAGTTAAAATAAGTTAAATATAAAATTGTTTTACATATTTGAAATTTAAATAAAACAGTAACGGCTGCTGCAAAGCATCCGTACACCGGGTCATAGTTCAAAATTTCAACAAGTTTAACTAATATATATCGCGTTTTAAACCGTTACTGTTTTATTTAAATGTGTACTACTCCTGTAAACTACAGACAGTATTTATTTGTAATTTGTCAGTTTTTTAAATCTGTTTTGGTGTGAGATAATAACACTAACCTGCATAGCAACATCCCTTTAAACTATTGTTTTTAATTAAATATTTGTCAAGATACATATAATAACTAACAAGAAGACTTTTTTTTAATTCCGTGTACTAGATACAATGTAGTTATTGCTCAGCTCCTTATGATGTATATTTGCAGGCGCTGTACTACGACAATTTGCCAGCGATATTCTTCGGCAGTTTCGCTCTGATCGCCAGTCTTCTCGTCTTCTCACTTCCGGAGACCATCAACCAACCACTACCGGATACGATCGAGGAAGCCGAGAGGCTTTCGCAAAGGAAGAGGAGAAAAGAAAATGCATGATCGAAATAATGACTTGAAATAGTTCAACATAATATGTATATTATAGTTATCATACCAGTGCTAATATAAATTAATAATTATTATATTCAAAACGATATGAGGAGTTAAGCAGGCAATCAGGTTCTTGGACTTGCTGGAAATAAAAACTTATTCCGATATAACGTGCCAAAATAAATAAGGTTTTCCTCTGTCAATTGATAACTTAACCTGGTCTTATGGCTTTAAAATTATAATAGGACGACGACGCATTTATTTTAAATAAATTAAACTATCAGTTATAATTATCGTATCGAGATATATTAATTCTTTCTTATAAAATCTGGTAATTTAAAACTATGAACAATAGAACAATATTTTGAACTGATTGATACGGAATTATTTATTATTGCCGACAATAATATTTATGTAAGACTGGTTCTGCTAAATTATTCCTATTTTTAACTGAATGCTGTTTCCTGTACAAATAGAAAAGATTACATAATAATAAAGAATAATTATGTTTTATAACATAGCGTATTTTATACATTTATAATTCGTATTTCTTGAATTCATCAAATCACTATCGCTTGTAAGCTTCGAATTTATTAAACTATGTACTATAACTATCTCCTCAAAGCTCAAACGGTTTCCCTATTTTCAAACAGATATTTTTGAAATATGTATTTTTTTTATTATTAAGGCTATTCAAAAATAAAGTTCCAGTTTTCAAGCTATTGTTGACTATTTTTTCTATCGAAAAGCATATAAATGTATACGTAACTAGTTAATTTAATTTCACAAACGGAAATCGAACTCCTGCAACATTTTAACTAAAAAATAAACGCCTGCTACATTTTTAAAGAAATGTTTTTCACAGCCGTGTCGTATTTTTTTAGCAGGCGTAAGCTTTGTGGTCCATATTCAATATAATATCTCAATTCGAATAGTGCATATGCGTTCGAGAAAAATACACAAAGCTTCTGTATACACACTAGAATCCATATTTGTATGATTGATTAAAACGGAGCTGTGTAGATTCAAAAGTCAAACTGGGGTCTGAGTCTGTAATTGATTACTTCTATTATTTAGACTGCGTAAAAAACGTATGTTTAAAGAGTCTTTATTTGAAATATTTTTATTTATCCCAAAATAACTAAGGGTACTAAGAGTAAAAGCTGAAACTAAAAAACAAATACTTAATATCAACTTAACTTCTTAGTTGACGCATTTTTTATTTTAGTAACGAAAACATTATACCTAGTACCTCTTTTAATCATTTTAAAAGGTCAAACGAACAGAAGCCTTGTTAAAAAAGTATTGGGGTCTATTATTTCAAACTCTGATGTAAAAAATTTGACAGTAACATTACGTACGTTAATATCCTAAAAAATATTACACACTATAAAAATATAGAAAGTATTAAAACTGGCGTAATTATTTATTCGCTGTAACATGCAGTAGACGTGGCTAGCGATATACAAACACATAACTAGATGAGTCACGATAGTGGGTGTTTATTTACTGAAAATCGCTGTTTTATCTGTGGCATCCGCTGATATTAACAATATGTAACTCCTAATTACGCTTGACCTGCTATACAAAAACATTTGCACTACAATCATAATGCCGAGCACTTCTATGACTCATTGGTTATGTGCATTGGTTAGCAATTAGGCTTTAGAGGTCTGGGTGTTAAATCCCGGAAAAAAGTTACATCTTTAATCAAGAAAGTCCCATCAACCCCATCAGTGAAACAGACGCAGAACTGTGTCTGCCCTATACTCCACATAGAGATACGCATTATTAACTTTATTTAAAAACAAAATACCTATTCAATTTGTAAACAATAACAAATTAGACACCTTTAGTTATGGAGTTTAATTGTTCGCATTAATGTGTTAATCGAAAAAGATCTAGGTTGGAAAGAAGAGGAAGACATTTTCATTATTTTTTGTATAAAATATACATATATGCTTATATATCATAAATAACCATATTGTTAGAAGCATATTAAGCCCAACGTTATCTTAAAGATTTTTTTATCTGAAACTAATTGTTGTCATAGGTAATTCCGAAGCCCGTGTCATTTTAAATATACCTACATATATGTATAATATTAGAGCATACGCCTTATTTTTATTGACTCTTTCTTTAAACATAATTATCATTATTTTTTAACCGCTTTGACTTTCCTGCTGTAATTATATCTGCTGTCTTGACACTTGTATTTACGTTGACTGGAGTGAATTATAAAAATATTGGGAGAAATTAAGTCACTTGATGAGAAAACAAAATTTGAACTAAACGTGGCATATTCTATGTGACAGCCTAAATATATACTATTCATACACCGTTTTTCTTGCTTAAAAAATATTAATCGCAAAATAACCCATTTTTTTTATTTTATTGTGGGGCGATGATTAAATTTTCTTTAGTTTGCATTATACGCGGGTATGTTATGACATTTTTAAACTCCATATCTCAATGTTCGATGGTGAAATCCCATGAGAATTTCCGAGGATAGTCTTATAATGAAATTCACTGCTGCTTATCTATGCAGATGTTCCAATGAAATGCTTGAGTAAACAGTAATGGAGGGCATGCAGACGTTCACCTCAATGCATAATAATGTAACGTTGTGACAATCGGTATTCGTTACTGAGTAGCGGATACACAACTTGGTTCGCACTATCTAGTCATACCTTTTAATAAAATCCTTTAACGATTTAAAACGCGAAATATATTAGTCATATTACAATAAACCTACGTCATTTACAGGCAGTATGTAATCATACCTTCAAAATGTCAATACTCGTAGTACTCTAATCAAAACATACGATTAACATACAAAATAAAAGTAGAATTTTGATGTAGATACTAGTAAATGTCATCTACCTTAATATTAATATGACATTAAGTATCTACATTCAGTTATATTAAATACGACACAATGAATATTCATCTCAAATTGTCACAATTTTTCTCAAATACGTATTAATAAAAGTATAAACAATTTTAATAAAAAGAGCAAATGCTAGAAAAGTTTGTTTTAATAATACAGTACTTATTTGTTTAATATTTATAGTAATTTAAAATACATTATTTTGCAATTACTTATACATTAACAATGGCAAAAGTAACTGGTAACGAGTACGTGGATATTTGTATCGTTACTTGTGCGACCCTATTAATGTCGGCGTAAGCGCCTCGCGCGATCATAATGACGTTAGCGGCGACGCTGGGTAACTTTCGACCAATCAGTGAGAGATAGCGTGTCTGGCGCATGTGTTTCGCTGCTTATCCGTATTTGAAGTATTATTGAATAAAATATTTATTAAAAATAAGTTATAGTGCTGGTTTGCGTTTTAGAGGCTATTATAGTGATCTTTACGAGCGAAATTGCAAAATAAAATTAGGTAAGTGGTAATTTAGATGTCATAATAAATAAAAAGTGTGAAAAAGTGAAACTTCAAAAAATTTCTTTAGAAAATTTAGGGCTTTTAAAGAACGTGTAATGTTTAAATTCTGTATTATCCCTTTAATGTTTAGATTTACTAACAATCATTTAAAAATGATTTTGAGCTAAAATTATTAATTCAATTGTTCGTAAAATAAATTATTATATGTAAATTTACTATAAATACAAATTTATCAGTAACTTTCATTAATTTAACATTACAATATCTGAAATATTATGTGTAATGAAAATAAATATATACAGATTTTGTTAAACTTTGAACGTTAAACGACACGTTACGAAAAACTGAAAATATTTATAATTTGTAAGAATATCAAACGTAAAAAATAATTATTATTAACAATTTATAATAAATTAATTTATTAAAAATTGTGTGTTCATTCTTTTCATAAAAATAATTCAGTATTTGCCAAGCCCAATATTTGAGCACATTTGTATTTATTTAAAAATTATGGCACTGTGAACATATGTAAGTGACGTACATACACAGAATTTTATACTAACATATAAAATTAAATTAATAATTTTATATTTAAATTAGTGTTTAAAATACCCCTCAAAATATAGAACAGCTGACAAAATATTTGACTATCTATATATACACATATAATGAACAGTTGTCTAGTACTTTCTTATATTTTTATTATTTAATATTATTTCCCACCCATTTTCTTAGAACGAAAATGCATTGTACTGTTATTTACTCATCACTTGAATACAATAACGAAAAGTAACATAATCGTATTGTATAGACTACAACTTGTAAGAAATTCGTTTTGTATAATTCTTTTAAAAAAATTTAGCACACTGTTGTTCTGTTTAATTAGTTTCTTTCTTTTTGAGTTGTTTAAAGGGGCGGTAATAAAAAAAAGTCTTCTTAAGCATTATATGTAGTTTAAATCACTTTCAACTTGAAAACACGACTCCTGCTACAAAGCATCGGGCCGTAAAGTATGAAAATTGAAAATCAATAAAATATGATATGTAAGTTTTAAGCCGTTACAAAAGTTTTATTTAAAGAGTTTTAACTGAATTGAACCAAGAAATCGTTTCTGTGTCTTAAGATTTAATTTTTATTAATTGAAGTCCAGAATCCACCGGGGTTACGTTTGAATCCGGCGAAAACTTATATATATTTTCAGTTGGACAGAAATACGATTAACTACTTGCCTTCAATTAAATCCGATCAGTTAAACAGGCAGAAATATCCCATCATTTCTTTTTTTTACCAATTTCCTCAATCTCTCATCATCTCAAACCTCAATCCTTATATTGTCTGGCGTTTCGCGGCCCTACATACCGACATAGGCTCTACAAACCTTGAAGGTTCCGCGTGGCATCTCAGCGTGACACTGACCCAATGCAAATCGTGTACATTACTCATTATTGTAGAAATATCGAGTTACTATGTCGGTGCTATTAAATCAAATATATTATAACCTTTTGTTTAATAACTTTTTCGTAATCTGAATTTGAACAGAAGCTAGCTAAACTCAAAAATAAATTAATAATTCTATATTTTTATAACAGTAATTTGCGTAAA